GTATTTTTTACTTGTTTATTTCTTTTACCTGTTTTATTTCCCTGGTCTGGAAGTCTCTTGAAGGAGACAAAAAAAAAAAAAAAAAAAAAACCGTCACAGCAGCCTAAACTCAATAACAGAACAAAAAATGTCATAATCAAAGTGAACTCATTTAATCTTTGTTAGGAATGGGTGATTTTTTTATAGCATGGTATCAGTCTGTATTAGAAATTGGGCATTGATCGGCTTTGACAATTTCATGGTCAAGTAGCTCTGACTAGCTAACACATCCTACGTAAAAGATAATGGTCACATTGACATGACAGATTTTTGGGTAAAAGTTGTTGCAGCAGAAAAAAAAAATGAATGGGAAATTCACAAAGCAGAGCAATCTCCAGGGCAAATAATGTGTTTTCAACTAATATTGTGATTTTAACACATTATTAGCAAACAGATTCTCATCAGGTCACAGTTATCCTTTTGGCAGCCATAAGCACAACATTTGGAATGAAATAATAAAACAAACTGAATGTATTTTTTTCACTTTTTTGATTAAAATTTGAATAACTTATGGCAAACTCCAGATTTTGACCTGACATAATGCTCCTTAAAATGTGTAAGAGCTACGTCTAAAAGGAGAAATCATGTTGGAAGCTTTCAGAAGTTAGTTTTTTTCTATGATTGTCCATAAGACACACACAGCCTTTGTGTTCCAGAACAACAAGGAAAATGCTATGGATCTAATTTAATTACAAGGATGCACAAACTCAAGTTTTCTTACATTCAGCACCAGCAAATATCTTTGCATATGTGCCCCTATGTTTGCAATTTTAAGTATACTGAGCAAGTCAGATTAAGCACAAAAATTGTTAGAAATTTCTAGACCTATAATTTCTAGAGAGGTTCTGCAACAACAGGGAGAAGTTCTTCTGATTTGTGTAAATCAAAGATTAGTAGGTTAAGGTTTTGTAAAAAACAGGTATTAGATTTTTGTCACAAATGCCCTTATTGGTACAGCTCGAACTTTGAGGAATATATGCTAAAGCTTGGCAGTGTGTGCTAATTATACACAGGTAACTTGGGGTAGAGTTAAAACATCTGAGCTTGCTTATTGCCAGGGTTGATTCATATGTCTGGGGACACTGTGCTGCTGGCCCTCGGTTCTTTAGCGGCTCTGGATGGCTCTGCCTTGATTAGCTGAGAGAATACAGAAAAGCTGCTAACACAGTTATCACTCAGCACTGATGAGCTGAAAGAGACAGTGAAGGACACTGCAGCCTCCAGACAGACACACATGAAGACTGATAGAGTTCAGGTAGACAGTGAGGCTAGAATAAAGGATAAAAAAAGAGAGAAGTGTCAGGAAGACATATGCACAGAGAAGGACAAGCAGGCCTGCAAACAGAAACAGGCACACAGTGCTTTGCGACGCACTCCAATAATGAAATGCATCCACACAGAAATGAATTATTTTTAGATGTCTGAGTGTGTGTGTGTGTGTGTATGTGTGTGTGTGTAGTAGTAGTCTGTTGGAGCATATTGAGGTAGGCGTGCAGTCAGACACAGCTGAGAGGAAGAACCCTTATTTTCTGTCACTGACCTAAGAGTGAGACTTCCTACAACATTCTGCTATCAGATAATGTAGAAAACTGTGAAATGATTTCTCTGGTGTATTAATTAATAAGCACACCTATAAATAACTCTCATGATTATAAATCAAACTTTAAAATCCTGCATCCACGGCATTTTTGTCACCTTTGGATAAATGAAAAATAAAATAGAAAAATTAAAAAAAAGCATGTGATGTAAGAAATTTAAAATGCTTTATACTAGCATCCATTACTGGGCAAAACTCCTGAGCTTGCAGTTTTTAAGAGGAGAGCATTCATTCCACGTATGCACACTGTTGGCTTACCTGTGTGGCTAGAGCCCGTGCTACAACAGCTCTGAGGTACTGCATAGGCTCCTCTGGTCCTTCCCATTTATTCTGCCATGTTATGGGACACTGACGCATTGGCGAACACATAGAAAAAGACAGAAAATTTGGTCTTAGATCATATAATGAAGAAAACACTCCACCTAATATGTAATAAATGTTGCTACAGCATTTATTTGACATTAAAACTATTTTAACAAAAGACTCTTATCATTCTCTGCTCTCTCTCTCTCTCTCTCACTGATAAAATACTTTCCAATGATAGATAGATATAACTGAGAAGCTTTAACTCTGCTCAGTTTTTCTTTAACTGCTCCTAATACTTGCTTCTCAAAAGTAGATTTAATCTTCCACATGTTTTCTTACGTATCAGGTAACTGCACACCCTCCTCTGATACACAATCATACAAGTAAGTAAATAAAACCTCAATTAATCATCAACTCAAGTAATATTATGCTCATGCTGTCTCATTGCATAATACATTCTATTATAATAGAATGCATTTGAACCATACTGCTAAAGCAGAGTGGAATATATTGCTGATACTGTTGTATCAGCATTATGCTTATAACATTATTTTTAAATGATAACTCAGTCATTTCCTTTTGATGTGTGACCTACAAGCATTGCAAAGGCACAGACGAGTGTGATTGTTTTCATGTTGGTTGATAAGGAGTGTTACTATCTTCTCGAAAGCAAGGAGACCTTGAGTTACCCGGGAATGTTGATGGAGTTTACTTCTCATTAGGCTGGTTGAGACTCCTCATTTACAAAAACCATTGAAGAAGCCGCAACTACTTTTAAATAATTAGCGTAGCAGCATTGTGGGAACTCGTTACAAAAATAAACAGTGACAGTGTCAGACAAATTGGTTAGGAAGCACTGTGAGACTACCAGGTTTAGCTGTGGGACTACCAGGTTTAGCTGTAAGACTACCAGGTTTAGCTGTGGGACTACCAGGTTTAGCTGTGGGACTACCAGGTTTAGCTACGGGACTACCAGGTTTAGCTGTGGGACTACCAGGTTTAGCTGTGAGACTACCAGGTTTAGCTGTGAGACTACCAGGTTTAGCTGTGAGACTACCAGGTTTAGCTGTAAGACTACCAGGTTTAGCTACCTGTTTACTGCTAACGGTATTAAAAGTTGGCATCTCACTTATGCCTTCCAAGCTGTACTAAATTAAATGGTCTCTTTAATAAGTATGGGATGTATTTGGCTATCTCTTCTTCAAAAGCTAAAATATTCCTAAATGAACAGATTAAAAAAAAAAACAGTTTGAGATTTGAGACATTTCTTCTCTAGTATACTGTATAGAAAAGAATTAAGCTGATCTACAGACTAAAATATTCTACAATGTTCACATTTTTAATAAAAAAATTAAAAATGTAAACTAAATGAGAGACAACAGTTATGTCTCAAACAGCTAAAACATCCTGCAGTACTTACTGTGAACTCTTGGACAAAAACAAAGAAAGGTCAAACACTTATATAAAAATACAACAAAACATGAGACTACAGATTGTGAATTTTAGATAATCCAAGGATCAATATCAGAAACTAATTAAGATGACACTTTAAAAGTAGGAGCTAACGTTTAGTCTGTGTCATGTCGGAGGTACAAGCAAGGGATTTAAAAATGTTCTATAATCACTTGTCATTTTAAAAGGAGAAAGATGCCAGAAAACAACAATAACTGAAACAGGGTGGTACATAAACTACATTTTTTGATAATTTGATCAAAAAATTATCAATAATTTGATCATTAATATGTTTTTTAACCTATTCAAGAACCTAAGTTTTCCCAGAAAATATTGATATTCTTGCAATTACAGCTGGTCCTGAAAAACTCAAGGATGCCAAAGACTGCTTCACTTCTGATAAAGAAATGTCTTACCAGCGTCACATCTTCACATTAATGATCTTTACCCTAACGAAAGGCACTGCAGATATTTATTTCTGTTTTGCAGTACTGCTTACCACTCTCCCCTGATGGGTATCTTGGCCACTTTCCAAGCAACTAATTATGTTTTACTGCACAGCTGAGCAGAGGGGCAGCGGAGCTGATCTCTCACAGCTATGCATACCATATTTTACATTATTACAACCCCAAACGGTCCATTTTCCAAATAGATAAATCACCTCTCCAGCTCATTCTGGTTCTCTCCCCCTAGTTGAAAATGGCCCAATCAGTGACGGGTGGTTGAAGCCTGTGATCTGACAGTTATGCATCATAATGTTTTCTGAAAAAGTCTCCACAGTTCATTTACAAACAGGCTTCTGATGCAGTGGCAACCACCATCTGCTAACTAGATAAATATTAGATGTAATTAGGACTTTTTGAAGTAGTAGTTGCGAAAGTACTGCTTCATGTCTTTGAGCTCAGAAGGTCATAAAAACTGATTTTATTTGGTTTTATTAGTAACCTTAACTTAAACTGTTCTGAGAAAAAAACAAGCCCTGCAGAGGCACCAAAGTCAGCATAGCTATGAAAAAATAATTTGCACTGGGTGACTTCATTTCACTTTGTCACTGCGTGTCCTCTTTGTACTGCTGGAGGAACATTGGCTTACAGCAGTGATGTCTAATGCATTGCCAAATGTGGCTACAAAAGTCATCAGATGTTTGATAAAAAAAAAAAAATTGGCAGCAAATAAATGTAGTGTTCATCTAAAATGCCCCGGCCTGGCAATTCAGAAAAGCATAATCAAAGATGAAAGTCACTGCTGTTTCTCTGAAGCTTTAGAAACCATTATGTGTTTGATACAGTGACATGTACATGTACACAAATCAGTCATGACTTTTTTTTTTTTTTTTGGTGGTAGACCTTTTAACTTTTATGGGTTTTCAGCTTAGATAAAATTTGACACACAAATCCTAAAACATCATCAAATTTGAATTTTTGGGATTTGATGCTCTGGCGACTCATTGTTGTGCTCTTTGGGATTGTATGGGAACTTTTTTCAAAGTCTTCAGCTCTTGTGCAGGAAGAAGAAACTCTACTGGTTGGGTAAACATGTGAGCAGATTAACACAGGGGTCTCAAACTCCAGTCCTCAAGAGACAGTCCTGCAACTTGTAGATGAGAGCTTAGTCCTACATCCCCTGGATCAAAATATTTCCTAACCATGCATCAAATCTTAGAGTTCTAGTGATGAGCTAAAAATTAGAGTCAGGTCTGCAGAAGCAGAAACGAGGCTAAACGTTGAGGACACTGGTCCTTGGACTGTTAGGATAAGTGTTGTTAAAATGTGACTGATCATGATCGACGTAGATGTCACAAAACAGGCTTAGTCAGCAAACAGGGTAATGCTACGTACTTCCTGAGAGATGCCTGATGTTAAACCGTTTTTTATCCAGTGCAATCTGTTCAGCCACCAGAATGTAAACTAGAGGCTTCAATAAATAAATAGTTAACTTCAATTTTGAAATGTTTTAACACAAAAGCTGTTATGAAACTGGTTCTGGTCGTGCCATGCATGCTGACATTTTGAAAAACAGGATGAGGACCAGCTGTTCTGCAGGTTTGTACAAGAGAAAATGGAAATAAAAATGTTGTGGAACACCAAGCAACGTCCTCCTATATCCTGCAAGCCAAATTAAGTATCTACATTAAGTAGATGTAACGCTATTTTTATATCATTGCTGCAATATTTGAGTAGCCTTTGAGTCAATTCTGTTGCAGTGAAGCACACGTGAGGTACACCTTGGCTTGTGAAAGCCGTGACCAAAAATTACTGCTGTATGAGGACATGTCCAAAAAATCTGGGGCAGCCTGGTCAAATTGTGTGCTACAGTAAGCCCCTCAAAAAGCACTTTGACATAAAGACACACTTATGTTGGCTCCATGTGTTGTGTTAAAAGATCAAGGTGCAACGGGGGGTTGGGGGGTGGGGGTTGAAGTCAACCTGCCACTACTTCACACCTCAAATTTACCTAGCAAAGAAGTCACAGCTGTGTACCAGCTGGCTTGTAAAATGGTAGCTTGACGTTGCAGCTCCACTGTGTGACGGTGTTTACAGAGACTATGTGGCCAGCTGGGTTGGGATTCAAAGCAAAAACACAGATAGCAGCTCTGTGTGCTGCATGTTTGACACATAATTTCTTTACATTAAACAGACACTGGAAAAATCATGATGAACAGCATAGACTCAAATGTGTAGCAAAGCAATGCCAGAGTTTTATTTTCCAACCGATCGATCGATCAGTCAATCAATCAATCAATCACCTATGACATTGTATCTTCTTGTTTCTTGAAATGACAGGCAGGTTGGCAGGGATGTTTCAGATCCCGTGGAATATCTTTTCACTCCTACTCAATTATTCCTCCATTAGCAAAGAGTGATTAACGTATCGATATTACTCTCTCAATTACGTTTTCTTAACCATTTCCCGACTATTTTGATAATGACAAAGAGATACCATGCATTACGCTAAATAAGGCCAGATAAAACTTCAGACACTTGATACTTATTGCGGCATCAAAAATACGATTTCAAACATTAGGAATGGTGCAAACAAAAAATTTGCAAAATTAGAACTATTTAAAACTTTGAAACAGAAACAATGTCCAAGTAGAAACAAATCAAATATGGTGTTGAATCATTTGAGTTATTTATAAAATCATAAGCTCAGCGCATGATTGTTTTTTTGGGGGGAAGGGCGGGGGGGATTGCCACTTCTTTTTATTTTTTTTTATTTTCTTATGTAGAATACTGTATCCATATTTGGGATCTGCATTGGATGTTCAAAAGATGGAAATTTAATAGAAAAAAATAAATGTCAAAATAAAAAGATAACACTGGTTCATGCGATCACTAAAATCACAGAAAAAGTTGAACAATTGTCCAAGGCTTGTATCCTAAAATCATAATCTAGGGATCTTTAAAATTATTAGCTATAAAAACTATAAAATTTCATATGATGTCAATTTCTTTTCATCTGTTTCCTTTGCTTCCTTTCTTTTGAACATTGATAAAGCATTGATAAACATTGAACATTGATGTCCTTTTTGTTTAATTTTGGTAGATGTAAACAATTATTTAAAAACCAAATTGCACACATGCTAAATAAAAAAAGGTGCCTAATTTAGTATTGTATGGACATAAATCATAGGGAAAACAGTAGAAGGGTAACAGATTGGAATAAGGAAAAATAGAAAGCATAATGAAGTAGCTGTAAACTAGAGAATGATGAGGTAGAAATGATTAGTGGGTGAGGGGGACTTAATACCTGCTGATCATTACAAAAAAAAAAAAAAAAAAAAAAAAGGAGAAATGTACTGAAGAAGGATTTTGGCCCAAGGCTTCTCTTAGGGGATTATAAACACAAAAGAAATGAGATGGGAACTGGGAGTCTGTTCCCCTCCACATCATCTTTTCCCTTTTGTCCTCAATTCAGCCTTAAGATATACACAGATACAGATTGTGTTTGTAAGATATCTACATGTCAGAGCCGTATACTATGTGCCGTATGCTACCGTGGCCTTGATTTCTCCACAAAGTTTTTTGCGATAATTCCAAAATAACTGAGGGAAAGGAAGGCATTATGTTATACAACAGTGGAGGAAGACAAAAATATATAAATATTTAAAAGTAATGTATAAATCTTTCTGTGGAAAACATGTTAAATCTCAGTGATTCAAGTAGTTTATTTTTTTCAGCAAGTGCCAGGGAACTCCTTCAGGGAAAATGTGAGGCAGCATCTGATTACTTGCCACTTTATAATTCACCAAGAAAAAGAAAAAAAAAAAATCTGTACCTGAATAGACAATTTCTCAGCAAGACTAAACTAGTTTTATAGTTGGTGGTCTTAATTACTGCCAACTCTGCGTTTCCCAGTGTAACCCCTTCTGGGAATCAGTTTCTTACCTCTTGATTTAGCAGGGCAGTGGCCAGTTTCTGAACTTCAGGGGTTAACAGTTGGGTTCCTCTGATGACCTTACTCAGTGCAGCGAGAGACTGGTGAATACTCTGTGACAAGAAGTACATCTTAAATACAGGACATCCTGTCCATAACACAAACTGTACAGCTGCTCACCAAAAGGTTTACTGGAGTTACCCTGTCCATAATGACTGTTTGTGCACAGCATAACAGACTTCTTTTTTATTTTCACTAATTTACTAAATAATTCACTAATTCACTAACTTGAATTTGAAAATTTTTTATATTAGAAAAATACACCGAGTTTAAAGACACAGAAGGTCCGTTTTGTAGCTTGGTAAAAACCAGCCCCCTTGTACTGTGCTTTGCTTCGTACAGAGGGATTGGGGTCTCGCCAAATAACTGCTTCCTGAAGACGGGGACTCTGTTGATGTTTTAAATGTCACCCAATCACTAGCGTTTGGCTGTGTCCGTGTAATGTGCCAGCTTGATGCTATGAAGCTTGCAGGAAACGGTGTGCACTGTTAACTACCATTCTCCTCTGCAGAAAGAGAAGTGCTGAGCCGAACGAGGCAGCCGTTAGTGTCAATTCAATATCTGGAAGAATGACCAACGCGGACTGAATGGCTTCATTTACTTCCTCCGCTGCCACTGCTAAAACTACAGGCACACTATAATTCTAAAATGGTGCATAAAGTCAATGGCATCGTTCACAACTTCTGCTTCTGTTCGCTGATTGGCCCACTGGAAATTCTACCAGGGAAATCCAAGTAAATGGAAGAAATCCCAGCATGTTTAACTGAACAGCAATGTCATGGTAGCTTGTCACTTGTGGCCATTTTTAGGTGATGTTTTGATGAGAGCTCTGTATAATGCCTAAGCTATTATTATTGTTTGCATAACCTAACCAGCTTAAAGTTCTCCAAAAACTTTGCACTTTGGTGTGCATGATACTTTCTGTTCACTAATGTTTTCCAGCAAACCTCTGTGGCTTTTACAGAACACCTGTAATTATATTGGTAATCAGTTACACAAAGTCGAATAACCTAACAGGTGTCTTCTGATGACAACTGTCTTCAGTGCATTATTTGGAGGTATCAAAGTAAACTGGGGTGAATACAAATGCAAGTCACACGTATCAGATTTTAATGTAAAAATAATAACTGAAAACCATGTATATGAATTGTGCATGTGTAGCTGCAACATGAAAAAAATGCTGAAAAGTTCAAGAGTTATGAATGCTTTTGTAAGGCACTCTATGTGAGGCAAAGCTTGCCAAATCAATAACTGATTTAAAAGCTTGTTGTGTCAATGGCATTTATGTTGAATCCCTGTGCTCTTTAATGAAATCCTTTTCACAAACGTACACAACAGACACAGGAATCAGCAAACACCATTTAAACAGAATGAGAAAATAGTTTTGTCACAGACACACACCTGGACCAGGCGGATGGCATTAAACTGCTCCAGAGCAATGAACGATAGGATTGGTGACTTCTGACCTTCTGTAGGTGGCTCAACCTTCTGATGGATCAGAGTAGAACCCTGATAGAAAGCAGACAATGACACCATCAGCTTTCAGAACTGCATAGTATCCACATCCACAACAGAACATTTTTCTGCAGTGCAGTTAGACTAAGAGGATGTGCATTACTGATAAAACACCAGATGTAAAGATTTAAAAATAACAAATCTAATGCATAGAATCAAGAAGATGTTAGGTGAGTAAACGAGGCAACAAACTCAGATGGGGAAGTATAATGTGTTTTCCAGACATATAGTGCCATTTTATAGCACAATCAAGTAACTAAGTTAACGTCGGTTGTTATAAAAGTGTTGAATATCTCAAATACGACGTAAAATAAATTTGACATCGTAATTTAATGATTTGAAAGTGGGCTTCTGTCTCTTTAAAAACTGCTGTTATTTCTCAAACTCCACCTTTCTAGAAGTCATTTTTATTGAGAAGTAGCTCGTATAATGAGCTCAGCAGGTGCGCAGTTCCACCAGGTGTTTGCTAATTGCTGTTGACTAGTCTGAAGGAGTTGAGCGTCGGAGTTGCGGGGGGAGCGATTCTCTGTGAGGCAGAAGCTTGGAAGCTAGGAGCTTGTGCCTCGAAGGCGGGGCTAATTCCACCCAGGTGGAACCACATCTGATGGTTTCCATGGAAATTAAACAAATTCTCAAACAAGCTTGAAAGAATCAAGGCAACATCTTTGATGAGGGAATGACATTATAACATGATGTAAAGTTTAACAACGCCGATTTTACATGATGCTGCCCTTTTCATGAAGAGTGCAGACTTCTTATCTGTGCTGTTCTGTACGTTTCTTGTACAAACCCACAGTTAGGGCTGTGAGATGCATGAATGTGGATGTTGAAGAGTGCGGCAGAGCAAAGCTGCGATAGCCTAACTGCAGCAGTCCCATTATCTGTTCAAAAGTATAATCTAATAACCGCATTAAAATGATCTGTTTTGTTTCGCTTCTCTCGCTTCTCCCTCAACGACAAACATTTTTACAGTGAACAAATAGTTTGTATGCATGAAAGTGCTTGAATGTGATATTTACAAGTTACACTTCAGCAGTTGACAGACATAATGAACTTAACAATGCAAGTCACACTCTGAGGCACTGATGGTCAAACACTGTAGGCCGACTCACGACTGATAAGCAGTTAGCTGAAAGCATACAGCAGCAGATTTAGAACAAAGTGTTACAGCTGTAATGAATGACTCAGACATTCTCTGTTCCTCTGCAGGTAAAAACAACTCTGGTTAAAATGAACTAAGAGAGCAATGAGAAGCTGAGCAAAGCAAAGGTGCAAGGACAGAGCAAGCATGTGTGCTTTATAGCACTGGAGTGAATAAAAGAAGCAGAGCAAGAGGACGGGAATATGGAAGATACATTATTTAATATAAAGGTACATGTCCGTTTGACTTAAAAAAGAAAAAGGTGCCTGTCTCCAAGCAACCACACACAAGACTGCTGGCTGACTGGGCAACCTAGGACCTATTATACTGTGACTGTCACTGACGACTAATTTACAATTATCTCTTGGCTACTTGCTCTGATATTAGCGCCGCAAAATGCTGGGGAATTCACACATTTTCAATTATTGCATCCTGGAACTCTCCAACACAGAGGAATCACAGACATTTTAAAAGGCTGAAGCAAAACCAATATTCGATTCAGAAAACCAGAAATAATTTAAAAGGATGAACTGACCTGGTTAAGTTTCTTCCATAAGTTGAGAACAGGTGAAAGTCCATTTGACCACAGCTCCCGATCAAATTTGGAGCCTGTTGCCACTGAGCGGCTGAGCACACGCAACTGTGAAATTACCTACAAAAAACAGTAAAAAGTCAAACAAATATGCAAACAGGGATATTTTCATTCATGCATCTCTAATTACTCTGTTGCACGTAAAGCTGAATTACATGCAACCTGTTGAAACCTTTTTCTGGATTTTACAAAAGGACCTGATTAAAGGACAATTCCTATTGGAAATGGAGGCCTAGACATAAGTAAACTGGGCATTGGTGACTATCTATCCTAGGAAAAACAATTTTTTGTTCCTATTAAGCTGTAGTGTACCAGGATAGCTTCTTAGGTGTCATTATTTTTCAACAGAAAGTATATGTCATAATCTGGCATTTTTCATCAATTAAGTAGATGAACACTGCTAAAGTACTGAGAATAATTATTAACCAGCGACAGTAAACTAAAGGAAAGCTAACTTTTCATTCACAGCCACTCTGACCTGAGGTAGGTCAGTCCCACAAGAATTTGACTTTAATTTTTTAACAGCATGCTCTAAAACCGCCGCATGTGTGCGTGGGTGTGCAAGGTTAGTTGCATAGCCCACAGACAGTCACATTGGTCCTCTAGGGAATAGAGAGAGTATATTAGGGGGAAAGAGAGAATTAAAAAGAGAGTGCATGAAAGTGTTGGTGACAGATGACAGCAGGAGGGGAGACAGTAACATATGTGGAGGACAGGTGAAGAAAGAAATGCAGGAACACACACATACACACAAGCACATCTATGTAAGTACCTTGTAAGTGCTACATGAATTGAACTTGGTTGCTGGTTTGAGTGATCACCAGACAAAGACCAAAGATAATTACAAGTAAACAAGGATGGACGAGAGCTAAATTAGTCTATTCTTTTTAGGGATGCAAACATTCAATTTATGATTAATTGTTGATTAATTGATTATTAGATTAAAATTACTTCCATTTCTATTTACTAGAAACTCTTTCAATGTCGTAGTGTGGCCACCATCCAGAAGAGGGCGAAGCTAGTTTTCCTTAAGCGGAGTTGATGCAGGGGCATCCCAGAACAGGAAAGAAAAACCGCCCACTTTATGTGGATCTGCTTTGAAATATAAACATTCGACAAGTCCCTCACGTTTCAACTTATTAGCGCTCAATCAGTTGTGTGGAGAGCAGCATTAAATTCTCAATTAGAAATTAATGATTTACTATGAAGGCGGGGATGTGATGACACAAAAGTGAAGGACAAAACACAGAAGAAAATCCAACTTGATGAAGAAAGACATGAATAGAATAAGCATGGTAGATTTTGAGGGCGGTCATGAGTTAAAGGACTGCATGGAGCAAAGTTATAACATACCTGCGACAGCAAACATGGCCACCTTTTCAGAGGGATGCTGAATTGAAAGCATGACTAACAGCACAAAGTGTCGCTCTCACCACAGATTGTAGACTGCCCTGATGTCACATCACACTTTTTGTCCTTTTCTTTGAGACGTGATGACAAGTAAAGTCTGTGGTTCTTCTTACTGTATGTAACGGTTCTCTTTTCATGGGAGAATAGATGCTTCAAATAGTTTATTCTTTTTATCTTTGATTTTTCTATTCAGCGTCCTAAGGGATTCCTGTTTTGTTATATCTTAATATGTCTAAGTTCAATAATATATGAAAAATAAAGCAATTTCCTGTTTATTCAGTCAGTATGTGGTACATCTGACACACACACACACACACACACAAAATAAAATAAAAAAGAAATCAGTGTTTCCTGTTATGGGAAGATGGTTGACCCTCTTGCTACAAGAGAAAACTCAGTTTTCTTTTTTTTTAAGAAAATGGCCGCTTATGAAATAATAAGCAGCCATAGATCAACAAGATCAATCAACTTTAGTTTAGCTCATTAATTGATAACTTGCATTAGTAAATCCTTTTCTGTCCTGTCAGACTTTGTTAATTTGATGTTCATATTTCCCTGAAAAGATTTATGAGAATGTTTTGTGTTTAAAAACAGTAAACAGAACCATTCACTAAGGAATAAGGTAATATAATAAGTCTATACTAAATCTTCTGATCTTCAAAACAAAGTTCTTCATTGATGAAGCCAGATAACTCTTTGCCTGAATATTGTAGTGAAAAATGCAATGATTCAGATTTTTAACAAGTCAATAGAAAGCAGAAAATAAACATGCTAGTGTTAATCTAGAACTTAAAGAAAATGTATGAATGGAAACATTGGTCAACACATACATTGTTTTCTATCAATGCAGTTGTATCTGCCAATCAAACCTATATACTAAACATATATAAGAACGCTAATATTGCATTATATTAGCTTTATTACAGTTAACAAAAGAGGAGTAAAGGAGGAGTGGTTAGACCACCATGTTGAGAGTAAACTGGAGAAACTCTGGTGGGACAAAATATCTATTGGGGAAAAAAAAAAAGAAAAACTGGACAAGAGACTGTAGTGAGTGAATCAGTGTAACACTGATGAAATGTAGTGTTATTTTACTGCAATTTGAAGCTGCCAAGATTTCAAGCATGTACTTGGCATTGATTTTATTAACTTTAATGATCTACTGGACTGGAACTTGGGACAAGGTCTAAATATAAAACTTGGATCAGTATCAGGTAACAAAAAAACAAACAAAAAAAAAACTGATTGGAACATCCTTGATACATCCGAGTGAAAAATAGTAGGCGTAATTTTATATCTGCCTGCCCTGCTTGTAATTTCTTCAGGGTTAGACATATGAATGACAGTGAGTTTACACTGATCAAGGAGACATACTACTCGGTTCATCAGAAACTTGCTACACACCTTCCGGTTTCCATTTTTGTGGAGAAGAGTTCATGATGCAAGAGAATATATTTGCCCCGAGGACACCTCAAAGGTATGCAAAAACAACTCAGAGATCAAAGTTGACCATGAAAAGTTGACTTTTACATACTTTCCTTTTTGGGCCCTAGACCTCAGCCCCATTGAACTTCTATGAGGAAACCTTAGAGGCAAGGAAGCCAAGCACTTCTGACATCAAAAGAAGCTCACTGAAACACTGTCACGTAATGCTGTAATAGAAAATCAAACTTCAGGAAAAGCCTCCTAACTTGTGGTTAGATTTTGGATCCCTGCGTGTAAAGATCCACCTACTTTATTTTTATTGACAACTGTAAAGACCTACACCATTATGTCTGTCTTCAGGAAAGGTGTGGTGCTGATTGGGATGTGTGAGCGAATGAAGAAGGAGGGAGGCTGTATGGTGGTGTCTGTGTGAACCTGGGAGCTGATGATTCTCTGTGAGGATCGCTCTATGTTGGCAGGGAGACCGAAGAACGCAGGTCTGTCATCCTCTGGGAGATTCTCCACCACACTGCGGTAATCCTGAGAGGACACACACAGACACATCATCTCACACACATAGCCATAGTGCCGAAAGAGAGAAAAAAAACCTCCTGAGTTCCTGTTATTATAAGTCACCTTCTTTAGATTTAGCTTCACTTAAGCTAAATATTGTAGACTGCTTGTCACTTTGTTTTAATTATTTTATAATAAAGCATTACAATTGCATTTTAAGTAATACGTTTGAGAAATAAAATTACTTAATAGTTTGTGATTTGGCATAGAAAAGCTAACAGTATAGCTAGCTGATATAGTAATATTCTGCATTACTTTTTAACAAAAAATAGCACACTGTCCATAAAAAATATCAATAGTTTTCTAAAATATAAATAAAGAAAAAATAAATCTCAAAACTTGGGAGTAGCTAAAAGTGTATATTCTTTATTTATTACATCTATTAACCTCTGTTAACGTCGCCTAAGGAAGCAGTCGACTAATCAGAGTTCCTGTGGCTGTTTTCACCAGTATTTCTCTCTTTAGTTTTTAAAATCTTATTAAAAGGTTTTTAACAAAATATTCCGTAGTATTAACAACTAATTTTGCGTGGCTGCAGACTAATACATAAATTATGTGCGCTTGGATTTCTGAAATTTTTTGGAAAAGAATAAGTCAGAAGTGATTCCTGCAGAGGGCGAGGGCAGAAAGGAAAAGCCATGTTTTATTATTTTTATAGTTGCCATAATCCTTTCATATATAGCACGATTATAAATCTGAGCTGTAGTCATCAGAGGGAAAAAGTCAAGCAGATTAGTTTAAAAAGCTTAAGAGTCTATATTGGAACATGCCAAATGGTGCTTGTACTTCACAATATCTACAACAGCCATCTGATCACTTTAAACCTCAGTGACTGCTGTCAGATATTGTTGCCTCGCAAGATGCAATTGACCCAAACAGATAAAGAGGAATTAGAATATGGAAACTGTGCTTCTATAAGAAAGCTTTATTAAAAACTTTGCACATTTGCAAAATCTTACAGTGGGAATTAATGCTGCATTCCATTATCACAGTACAGTTGTTGGTGAAAGGAAATGCTTTGCTAAACAGTATCTTTAACCTAAAATTTATCTAGCACAAGATAACAATATTAAACGACTATAAAAGGGTTCCAATGTTAATTCAGAACAATCATTCAGTTTACTTTTTTTTTTTTTTTTTTGCTTGCTTGGGAAGCAGTTTTAAAACTGAACTGCCATGTCACAAAAATCATACCATGCTGCATTAATTGTATTCAGTCACACACTCCAAACACTGATCTACCCATTGCTGCAGTGTTGGATTTTTTTTTAACCGTCTGTGTCATCTTAGCAACTTACCATGATGGAGCAGGAGTTTGGGAGGCTGATTTGAGATGGAAAAATGCGTCCCACCCCTTTACTCCTCCTTTGTCCAGCAGAGTGGGTGGATGAAAGGTGTTTTGCAGAGAAGAACTGCTCGAGGTAAGAGCGCAATATGCGGAGATCGGAGGGGTTGTCTATTCGTCCGCCGTAGATGGCGCTCTCCAACAGGCCGTGGACAAACTCCCACTGGAAAATTTTACCACCTTTGACATAAAGAATATAAACAGAAAAAAAATGTAAGCTATAAAAATGTGGAGTGAGTTCACTCAAATGGAAAACAACCCTGTCTGGGTTGCACTGTTCCCAAACAATTTGTTCGAAAGAACATTTTGTGGGAATAAAGAGAACAGAGCCACTTCATTTGTTGGAACAGCGCACACTGTGATTTGCTCATTGATTGTATTACACAGTGAATGAGGGCTGTAAGATTTAGGAAGGTGTTCAAATGGCTAAAATCACACTAAAAAAGCCAAGAGTACTGCTTGGTTGTAGTTAAGGAAAAAAAAAAAAAAAAAAAAAAAAAAAAGAAACAAAGGTCTTAAAGGTCAGATGACCTCCAATTTTAAAACAGATATCCATTAAATCTGTTTTAGAAGCTGCGAGATTCACTTTTTAACCCATTGAGGACACATCCCATTGTAAAGAGGATTATTCAGTTCACAGTTTTGGTTCAGGCATCTGTTAAAAAGATGAAGCTCAAATCTATCACCCACTAAGGAGACTGAGCTCAGTAGTGAATTATTACAAAAAAAAATGAAAACATGGTGTATTTGAACGCTGCACTTTAACACTAAGAACTCATACTAAGTGACCATATGTGAAGTCACATTCAATGAGGATACACATTAAAAAATCCTTTATAAATTCCGTCCATTTACCATAAATAGTGCCACAAAGGCATGTTGATTCATATTTGCTGTTGAAGTGAGACGCTCATTTGTGAGGAGTCTTCGCAATTTCCAGTTATTCATTTTCTGCAGATGCAAAGAACTACCTACAGCTGTCCAGTGTGCAAAGCTCCTACCGTCAAAGAGCCTGTCGATGATCTCAAAGCCAGCACGGAGGTCAGAGAGGGAAAACTCATAGAACTTTGTCCATCCCTGAAAACAAAACACATTTCACATTACAAGAATTTAAAGCTGAAAAGATAAAAGATAAATTGTGTTGTTTTTTTTTTATTTGCAACTAGATAATCATAAATATAGTGCTGTTATGTTTCACCGCCTCTAATTTGAGACAATTATTTATAAATATTGCAAGATTTGCTTCAGAATGACCCGTCAAACGTACCATCCTTAATCGTCATTTTAAAAAACAAACCCTCAACACAAAGTTGCAAAAAGCAGCTAAAGTTACATATGTGTTAATTATAAGAACATCTGGAAACACTTTTTACTTGGATCCAAACATTAATTAGCCGAGTTTGTGGAACATCGAGTTCTATCACGTCTATCACATTCGAGTATAATTTACGATTCACCCCTGAGACCCATCTTGTTTTACTAACAAGACAAAGAAGAGTCGTAGAAAAGAACAACTTCTGCTCATCTGTGAGCTTCTAGATCCCATGCGCATCGTTTATTTTGGTATTTTGAACTTTGATTGAGCCAGTAGTCCATGTTTTAGTATTGGACTGCTTGGACTGCGACTACTTTTTTGCAACAAACTTCGGCTGAGAACAGGAACATACACTCTGTTCTGAAGCATTGAGAAGTAAAGGTGAGCTTTAGGGTTGAACAATCAAAGGCCAATCCCAGCCAACTCAGATTATCACACATAAGAACACGCCAAGACAAAAAAGCAATTACTTGGTGCTGATCATTTCAGAAAATCAACAGAGATGTTAAAATGTAATGGAGTGTGAGAGCCGTCTCAGGTTGCATTTATGTGTTTAATGCACTTCACAGCGATCCAGTCAGCTGATGTAATCCGTTTATGGATGCTGCAGTGGGAAAAGGCATTGGAGCAAAACTTTGAGAGTATTTTTAATAACTCTGTGAGTGATGAAGTGATTCTGAGCTTCAGTTTACATTCATTCGTAGTGATGGGACTGGTCGGTATCACATTTGATAAATGTGCTGACAGATGAATGTCTGCATTCATTCTGTTTATACATCACTGGCTGCTTATTTTGTCGACTGATAAAGACATAGATACTTCTATGAAGGTATCTATAACAAGAAACATATATCCACTTTTCAAACCTTTTTTTGTTTCTGTGAAACTTTCGGTTAATATTAAGTGTTTTCTGCACAACTGTATTAATAGAAGAAATATGGAACAAAGGATGAAAAGCAGACAGGGAATTAAATAAAGAAAAGTGTAAGTAAGTTTGACTAATTAGAGGGTTATTCTGGAATAGGATGATAGGAGCTGAGAGATATTACAGGCGAAAGTAACAAGAACATGAAAAAAAAATAAGTTTAGTAAAGTGACAAATATCAAAACAATATTAAATATGGATAATAATGAAGGCTATATGCAAATTGTAGAACACAATTATTACTTCACACAATAATATACAAGAATAAAAGCTGAAAATGTGACGGACAAATAAGGTTAGTTTAAAAAGTAAACTCACTGTGGTATGAAGGGGGTCATAAGAGTCATTACCACACTAATGCATTTACCTATATATATATATATATATATATATATATATATATATATATATATATATATATATATATATATATATTTCTATGAGATTTTTCTAATTTAAAAAGTTACAGATGCCATTTCTTAGAAAACATAAAAATGATATAATATCTATGTGAAGAGAGAGTGTTGGAGGTTCTGGGCTGGCTGGTGCTTCTTAAATGACCGTACTGTCCATTTTTTGTCACAATATGTCATTATTGATGATACTTCCTCAACTACCATCACTTGTCATCAAGTGACTGCATTTTTAAAGCATGCACCTTCTGAAAATCCCTTGACAGTGTCTGACATTATGGAGGCTGGGGAACCAACATTTCCATTGTCTGACAACTCAGGGAGCAAAAGCATTAATTCAGTTGTATTGATCCATTAGTCTACCCGCAGCATGAACGAGGAGTATCGGGTCAACAGGCTGCTCTAAATTCTTCAAGTGGGCGCAGTTTTAAATTGTGTGGTGTGCAGTCTGGTGTGGTGTGCAGTCTGGCCGAAGTTCCCCGAAGCCTGAGGCCCAGCACAACGTTAAATACGATTACAGAAGTCAGTGAGGAAAACAAAACTGACCTCTGGGGAAACAGTTTTTTCTTTAACTATTTATCGTAAGTGCTTGTGGATAATGTGTGAAAATGAACTAGTTATAAATTCAGACAGGTGTTTGCATATAAAGATGTGCACAATGATTATGAACACTACGGTTATGCATCTAGTTAAAACTAGAATGAAACGACAAAACTGAAACTGGACAGGGAGGCTTCCAAGAATTGAAAGAAATAACCATTTTCTTACAAAACAATTACCCTTTAGTACTGGATTAAATACTTCCCATTCAAAGAATATGTTATATAAAACCAAACTAGAACTTTCAGCCACAAAAACATAAAAACAGACATCAACAGCATCAGCATCACTGTGATGCCAAATTTATATCAAACTTAACAAAAGAAATAACTTTGCAGCGAGAAAATTATGGTTTTGACATGAAGAGGGATATTGCAAAGAGACATTCTCACAATCTAATAAATTTAGCAAATGGGTAAATATTGCTATTTAGGATTTGGCAGCCTGTTAGACTTCTACCAAAAAAGACTTAATTCCTAAATTAAATCTAAACATGGGATAAGTAAGATATTTGCAAAGGGTGTGGACTCTTATGCAACCAGGTTAGTAAATCTATTTCATTTTTATTTTGTAATTCACTACTAGATTTATTTTTCAGATGTAATGCACATACTAAAAACCACAATAAAACACACAAAAAAATCATTTTAAATGATTCATTGCAGTCTCAATTTGTTATGTCAGAAAAACCTGGCATTTTAATAAAAGATTAAATTTCTTTTCTATCCAATACATACTGCTGGGTTTGTGTGTTTTACCTGGGGGATGTAGTTCCGTCTCTCTTGACAGACAGCATGGAACCAAGCCAGACAGAACAGAGACTGGGCTCTGGCCAGATTGCCTCCTACACATAAAAAAATCATCAGCATCTCACAGCCACAACAAATGCAATGCCCAGTCATATGTACCCCGGTTTTAACAATCATGTTGTTATATCGTCGCAGAGTGTATTGTACAACAAAAGGGCAGGCACTGTTCTGCGGTTACATAACAACAAAACATAAGAAGGGACACAAAGAGTGTGGCTTTGACTAGCTGGATAACTGTTTAGTACTGTTTAGTCTTTGCTTTGTAATATTTGAGAAGTGAAGTAAAGAGAGTGAAGGACGGGAGACGACCTTTACTGATCTGCTCAGGAGTCCAGGACTCATATGTTCTCAGCAGATTCTTTTTCAACCCCGGTGGAGCCTGCAGATGGCAAAAAAGCAATTAAGTAACGTAGTTACCGGCAGAAAGGAAAATTTTCCTTACCTCATAATAAATGAAAACTAGAGTTTCTATACACATCAAATATTGGGGTTAGGATATGATATGACATAAGATGATTAATTTTTTTTTTCTTTCTGATTTGGTAAATGTAAGGCAAAACATAAACACAGAGGAAGACACATCCTCTGAACAAGGTCACTAAATAAAATACCACAAGGGCTTAAAAACGTTTCTACTATCAACAGATACCCCACTGTTATAGCAATTTGTTGCCAACCGCCAATTTTATTGAGATGAGAAAATAATACAGACATCAAGTAAAGCAATAAACATGCAAGGTTGTCACTGTTGGATGCCTCATAGTATTTACCACAGGGGGACCTGGAATGCAGAAACATTTTGGTGCCGTTTAAAACTAGGAGTTTTTGTTATTTGGCAGTTTATATTAACGAGTAATTAGAATGGGCTCTTTAAATATTTGAGATATGTCCAATTTATAACAAAAATAAGGAGTACACAACAATGGCATTTGTTCGTGTATTATCAGCCTTGTTGAGCATGTGGTAGCCCCATCTGGAGGTTTTGATAATACACACAAACACTAATGCATCTACTAAATTTGCTAAGATTTGCTGGATATGTGTTGTTAACCCAGTAGGTTAAGTCAGCCTCATTGGGTTGAAAAGCTTCTTGAAAAGCAACCTAATACCACAAAGCCTGTAAATTCTGCCATGTCAATTAGCAGAATTTACAGTATTGATTTTAAGTTTTAAATTATAATACTGACAGCTGCCTTGCAGCCAGGAAACAATGTGTCTAATACGTTGGTTGGCAGTGAGATGAACTCAAAAATCTGTGCAAATATGTACAATGTCTGTAAGCTTGGCCATGAAATACTATGAGCTTGCTGGAGGAAAAATAAAGTGGCCTGACTTATAGAGAGAAAGCAGACAGACAGAGGCTGTTGGTGCAGCATGCTTGGCTGCTGAAGCAGCTAACCCCATGAGCATGGCTCCCATCAACAACACACTGAGCACTAAAGCATGCATCACATACAAGCTGTGCAATTCTGCATATCCCTACAAGGTATAAACAGCAGAAGAGAGACATGTGAATGCTGTTCACATTTCAATCTGGAGGATGAGTGGAGACATATTAGCATAGATACATAGAAACTGACAACAACAAAAAAATTGCTTGGGTACATGATTCTGTGTGTGTTGCACAGAATCGTGCATCATTTAGCCTCACAATGTTATATGTTACCAACCTCATAAGTGATCTTAAGGCTGGACTGCAGTAAAATTGGGGGAAATCTTGGGTGGACTTCTGCTGTCAGCCAAAGACGGAAGTTTGCTTTAGGATGCAGGACATTTAGTTCCTGTGAAGGAAAATAAGAGGAGAAATTAGATAAATTAAACACACCAAGAGCTCAGAGCAGAACTAGACTATTACTAGGCTATGTATGCTCAGTTTTGATTTACATCCTTACTGTGGCAGGCTGGACCAGCAGCGGATTACTCTCACTAAATAACTGAAGGGATATTGGTGTCCAATTAACATGTCTTTCGTGCATCTAGAAATGGCTTAAAACTCTGTTCCCTGAGACTTTTTGTTGGAGGTGTTACATGACTATGGAGTGGTAGGGATGCGCCTACTAAATAAACTTTAAGAGCAGCAACACCTAAGCTAATTCCTGGAAATAGACACACGCTCCACAAGCTTGATTAATAGCTAGTGAATTAAAAACAAAATCAGTTTTAAGTTATCATTAAAGAACTACATTTTAATTTTCTCTTTTTAGATTTAAACTAAAGAAAAAACCCTTTGGTATTTTATGAGTAGCATGAGACAGTATATTTCATACATATTCATATGTATGGAAGTACCATTAGTCTTTTTGTGATATTTATTTCAAGACATAATGCTCTTTTGGATATTCTTTTCATGTCAGAATGATTAAGAATGATAGTCTTAAGGAACCACACATGGTTCTGGAGCAACAGGTTTGCAGAGCCTTGAGCAATTCAGTCCTTACATAACCAAAGCAAGAGCTGGACCTTTATGCTCGACATGAAGTAAAACTTGTTTTCAGTGTGGGCTGGACTTTGTCAGGGCTGTTCCTTGTTTAAGATTCTTTTTGTGCTGTTCGTGGGCAGGATGTAATGGTGTGGATGTGGAGATGAGCGAGTCTGCTTTCGGGACCTGAGGGCCTCGTTTCCGCCTCATGCAGACAATGTGGTTCTGTTGGCATGTTTCAACCCCCATCTATGGTCATATTGATCATGAATGGAAGAGCAACTCCAGATAGTTAGAATGAGCTTCCTGAAGGTGAGTCCAAGGAGGTGGACAGAGGAGTCGGGGACCACCAGAATGAGCTGAAGTGTCACTGGGGAGAGTGATTTCTGGACCTGTTACCTAACCGACCAGCGTCACAAAAGCAGAAGCCAAAGAATTAATAGACGGATGGATGGATGGACTACAGAGCACAGCTGATTTTACATTGTAAATCTGTCAATTAGTTGCTTTGCATAAAATCTGATTGCAACTAAAGACCAAACATGGAGCTAAATAAACAGACAGGCAAACAAATAAATAAATAAATGTGATAAACCATATTTTACTGTGTAATTGTATATAATGAGAAAAAGAGCACACACTTTGTTTTGTCACAGGAATACAGCAAAGTAGAAGCTAATCATAATGAATTTTAATAACTTTCTTCATTTCTGCCATTCATTTGCTTTCTCCACTGATTCTAATCTCTTTAAAGCCTTGAACTGTGACTAATTCTCCACAATTACAAAACATTCACCTACTTTTATACATAATTTCTATCATACTTTCCTCTCTTTTCTCTTGTTTTCACAGTCTTCATTGTTGTCCTTGAGTTTTCTGCATTTTTTCCCCTCCAAACTTCACTTTCAGCCATCCCTCCACATCCCCCACCTCCCTCTGTGTTACTCAAAGGCGGTTAAAAATAGCCTCCTGGCAGCTCAGGGTCTTGTGTCATCAGATTGGGTACTCGAACACAAGGGCACACACAATGAACTGTAATCAATGTGTTTCTGCATCATTTGGCGCCTAATTCATTCTTGTGGAAGCACACGTGATCACAGATAATCAAAGAACACGAGAAGTGACAGCCCTCAAAGGAAACTCTTCATACCCTTGTTGTACTTGCATGTGTGTGTGTGTGTTTTTTTTTTTTTTTTTTTTTGTGATTTGTTTATAATCACAATTCCACTTGAAGAAACAATGGCTGCAGCATACAATACAAGAGGACAAAGAAAAAAAAGAAGACATAAGAAGGGCAAATAGAGATGGAAATAAAAGTCAATCTCTTCTAGTATCTGGACATGAAAACGTGTCATTGCTGGAATTTATTCATGCAGTTCAGAGACTGAAAGCCAAATCATTTAGCCAAAAATAGATAAGGATATATTTCAAGCCAACAGGCTTTGCAACTGCACACTACCGATAAGAATTATTACAAGTCCTGATAACACCGTGACACCCTATTTAGAACAGTGATAAGAAACAAATCATAACATATTAAATGGTGATTGTCAACAGCAACAAACGCAAATCACCCATAACGTCACTGTAATTTGTAATACACAAACATTTACAAACAGACTGTTTGGAAAGATCAGTCTGTTCTAACACAAACAACTTCATCTACATGATCTAGTCAAGAGTCAAATGTTGGCTGGTGGGATCCAGGTACAGATTGATTAAACACAAAGTAAGAGAGAGAGCGGGGTTATAGGTTTGACCTGGCATTGTGGGTCAGGTTTTCAACCCAAAACAAGCTTAAAGTGACTTAAGTTCAAGATTCAGCCCACCAAGTGGGCTGAAATGAAACTAAACAATTTGATAAGTTAAAAGAGTTTTAAATATGCAGAAGACTTTTACTAAATCCTTCAATTTTCTATACATGCCTTCTTTTTGCAAGTTTATCAGGGGTGGTGAATTTCTCTAGTAATTAGTGGGCAGAGGATGGGATATACTGTGTGCACAATCACCAGTCTATCAAAGGGCAACTATGCAGGACACAAGAACACGTACAGAAACAATAACAACAATGGGAAGTGGTGACTTATACATGCTGGCATTTTGATTTCCCTGCGAAACATGATTTCACACTATACTTCTCAGACCTTAGATAAAAAATAGAAATGGAAATGGTGACAAGATCAAATGAAAGACTAAAATCAAGAGGGAGGCCCTCTTCTAATATTCTCTGACATCAAATCAATAACAATCATATTTACTCAAGTGGCCCTTTGAGAAAGTGAAATGGTCAACACTGATCTAAACAGCTCTCATCTAATTCTGTGGAAAAGGTTCACTGAAGTCTGACGAAGGTGCTGCGCATTTCAAAACTGCAGTCTGTCTTCTCTGATGTAATAAAGTGGGTTACAGTTTTTAACCCAAATGTTTGGCTAACTTTACTCAACTTCAGGCCTAACCACATGAACCCAGTATGTGGAAAACCAAAACAATTCAGTAGTTTTAGAGGTGTAGATGGAGAGAATAGGGATGTAAAGAAAAGGAATGATTATGAGCAAATGGGAATGAGATGACATCTGTACTGTCAACTTAAATTATGAACACATACCATCTTGCCTCTTCTTGCTCTCTTTAACGAGCCAACTGCTAAAGAGAACGAGGTGAGCTCAACAAAGACAGATGGTGAAAAGATGCAAGATCATGAAGAAGCTCAACTCAGATATACAGTAAGACTGACCAGATGGACATAGATACTGAAATACAGAGAGATGCTCAAACATAATATTCCCATTGCAGATTTCCCCCTACGAACAGCATCTCACTATTCCTTAACCTCATCTCTCCACTGCTTTGTTCCTTCTTTCCTCCACCTATTACCACTATTATTCCTAGGGTTGTGTAGCTTTTTCATTTTAAGCTCATACCTCAGTCTTGTGAGTGGATGTGCAAAACGTCAAGCCAAGAAACACGAGTAGTTTACGTCATGCAATTGAAGAAATACAATTGGCAATAAAAGTTGAAGAGTAACAAATGTAGAAGTGGAAGGAACTGGATGCAGAGGGCACACAATGAGACAGAGTGGTGAGCAGCCCAAACAGAAGGGGATCTCTGGTTCACACGCCCACATAGGTGAGAGCACACATATATGCAATCATACAGACACACACACACGCGCACACACACGCACGCACACACACACAAACATACAGACCAATTATGACCAACAGTTGTGCCTCCCAGTGAGAAATGACCTACTACTTTAATACGACACTAAAACAGAGCCCCAGGAAAACCAGGGAGCACAAACAAAATCGAAGAAATTGCAGGGAATAGATAAATTCCCCCACAATTCGATATTCCCCCCAAAAAATAGACTCTAACCAATGTCATCAAAAAAAACGCACACCTACATGTATATCTTCGAAGGCAGGAAACACACACACACACACACACACACACACACACCCACACACACACACACGCACACAAGCACCTCCAAAGCCACTAATATGTCCTGACAGGTGGAATGCAAAATGTGCATGAGAAAGCAAAGGACAGAAGGTAATTTTAGATATGATAATTTGGCCAGGCAGCAGAATGCACATGCGAGGATGTGTGTTTGCGTGCATGTGTGTGTGTGTGTGTGTGTGTGTGTGGCAGTGTGCTATTACAGATAAACACTAATTAGCTGGGATGAAGCAAGGGACACATATGCAGCATTATGACAAAACATCCTCCAGGCTGTACTTTCCACTGACCTTTAACCCTAATCCCAACTAAAACAGGAAGCTTTGATGCCAGGGCAGCCATCACTCTGGAAGACAAGAAATTGACTGGGCTATAGCTCTGTCCATGCAGCAAGCTGTTTTGGGGTGTAGCACTGAAATGATCCCATCACAAGAAAGACTGCAAAAAAGGGGCAACTTTCACCTAGCTTGACCATGACCCCCAATATTTTTAATGTAGGTAAATGTACCCAAGTTCTACTGGGTAACCTCAACAACAACAACACTCTTTGTTGTGGACGGTGTGAGTGAAGGAAATCATCTACTTTCAGTGCTGATGAGTTCTGTAAGCTCAGAGATACAAGAAGCTATCACAACATATTGAGACACCTCTGTTGTCCATTCAGGATGTGAGAGAGCACTGAATGTTGGGCAGATAACAGAAAGGCTAAGGACATTATAGTAAAATTACTCTCTAAATTTGAAAGGATTAAACAAACCGTTATGGAACAGCCTAAATTTGGCTGGCTTTTGCAAATATCGGAGTTAAGGTACACTATATATCTATATACTCTAAGGCATTCTCTCTTATTCTTGCACCAACAGCAATTCTGTGCTCTCCCTTTCTCATTAAATGCACTGAACAGATTGATTGCTGGTTTAGTTTATGGAACAAAACAGTATAGACTAAAAATGAATGATTTCAATCTGTCAGTTTAAAAATCTCTGGCAAGGCTAGAAACCTACTCACTATTCCAAAAGTCAGAAGCAAACATTCTGAAACAGCCTAAAGGTTTTATGCACCAAAAAAATTGGAATAAGTTTGCTGCCATCCTGAGCTCCTTCAAAACAAAGTTAAAACGTTTTTATTTGCTGTTGCCTAATCTTAAGATAAGCTATTACTTTATTTTCAAATCTGTTTAATCTAAATCTATTGTGATGTGTTTTATTTATGTTGTTATTAATTCCAATTATAACAACAAACATATAACCTCAAGTTGACTTTGGCCAAAAGATGCTATAAAGTTGCCTTACTTCCACTGGACATATGTGGAGACTTTTCTACAAAATCTAACAGCCCCTTGTTCTTTTATGTTTCTGTGCAGGGAACAGATTTCAGAATTAAGTAGACTTGCAATGAGGTGAATAGTCCAATGTGCCTTTTTTTTTTCTTTTTTTAATCAATGGACTTCAAGAAATGCATTTCTCTCTGAATCGGCTACATAAGATCATGACAACAGATGGATTTTATGTTTTCAGTTCCACACTTCCTTTGAGTGACAGGCTTTGTCTAAACTTAGTAAACTGAAACAGAATTTTCTCTTAATTTATGTGGCATAGTTTTCTAAGCTTCGCTTCAGTTTATCACAACATTTTATTCAGTATGCTACATTGATCTTATTGTGAAGAGTGAAAACAAGAACAGCAACCCCCCTCCCCCCAAAAAACATACCACAAAACACATTCATACATACATGTTAATATTACATAGCATGGACTGATCAAACTACCTGACAGTGAAAGGCAAAAGTTTTCTTTGACAGCAGACAGTAGCAAAATTTTAAACTTTAATGTGTTGCATCGCTAGCCTGCGTGCAAACATCTTCGTGTACGAGCTCAAAATTTCATATGCAAGAATTAGGCCAGCCACTCAGCTGGATGAGGAGAGGTGACCGGTGACTCATCACACAAATTCCATAGGAAATGAATGGAGAGGAACAAGTTTTTGATACTGGCTATATGGCAGCTGCTCTGGGCAGCATCAGAAAAGGGTGGCCCACACAAGAAATAAAATACAGTATATCTTATCTGTAAGTTTGCATGTATGTGTAGTGGAGTAAGTTACTCAGTTACTCACTTATTCCACAGTTGCTGTTGAGTACTGGGAGACTACATTATCTGCTCTCCGCTACAAAACAACAACAACTGATAATTACTTGAATTTTAATTGGGGTGCGTCAGAAGAGATTTACCCAGGGCACCATTTCCACAAGAACCACAGTGCTAGAGTGTGATTATTCTGATCAAATTCTTTAATCAATTGACAGCACTAATACATATATTCACAATTAAAAACATTGGTTTTATGTGACTGCTAACTCTCAGTCACTGATGATAGTACTTCTTATTTCTGCCCTGGGTTGCATTAATGGAATATTTTTCATTTGACTGAATTTTAAAATGGTGACGGAAAAATCTGAAGGTCGTCCGTCATTTTAACAAATCACAATTCACACCGCTGACCACCAGGTGCAGACATCCAAACATTTTTTCAACTTAACACACAGAGTACAGATAACTAACTCAATCAAAATTTTTCATCTGAGTATCATCTCTGACCTGGACTCAATGCATCTCGCTAGCCGTGAGCTGACAGAGCGCAGCAGGATTATGGACAGGAGCACGTCTGGTGCACCAGAAGGAGCACATATGTTGTGGGATTTCCTCCCGCTGCCCCTCATTCACAGAGCTTTTCTGACTTCTGATTGCTTCAGTTCGAGAAATGTTTCCCAAATTCAAAACTTTGGCTGAACTCACACTTGTAATTCCAGTCTCCACTGTGAGCAGCAGAGAGATTCATCCTCCAGATGAACATCAAAACCCTGAGACATTTGAGTAGGCTCATTCTGGTGGACAATTCAGGTCAACTGACTCTCTTTTTCTTCTATATATGTAGATATATGAGGAAAAAATATCGCAAAATTTCTACATCACCACATAATCTGCACACAAAAAAAGTGAAATCCTGGAGGGACTGAAGAAGTAAAGATAAAAAAATCTGTAGTGAGTATGGATAGTTTGAATCCATTTTGCTAATAAAATAATCTTTCTGTGGATTAATTTTCATTGTCATCTAGCAAAAACCACAAAACTAACACAGAAAACAATATAAAACAAATATAATCTAGTGCTTAAAGCCATATCCCACAAAAACAGCATAAACACAAAGAACCCACCTTCTCCAGAAGGGGCAGCCAGGCTGTGACGAGGTGGAGATTTTTCAAGCAAAGCCAGTCTCCGTTTCGAGAACATTCTCTAAGTGTGGCCAGGGCCACATCAGCCTGTCCCTGACCCATGGAGATCTAAACAGGTAGAGAGGAAAGGTTGGGAACAGGGGGAGACAAATGGAATCAGTGGGGAAAAAAAACAAAACAAAAAAAAAAAAAAAACATGTTGTGTCTTTCAGTCCAATGCTGCCTTGCAAAATTACAGAGCTGAACTTTTGCCTAACATTTTAACTCACCTATGTCCTCAGTCAGCATTTTCTCATTCAAAGCCAGTGGCATAAAATGGATATTATTTATTTGATTACTTACATACACTATTTAGCCATAATACTCTTTAAAACTTGACTTTCTTGTCTTAATTTAATGCTAAGTAATTTAAGGAATAAAAAAAAATCTTTAAACACCACTTTCCCTTAGTGTATTATAAACCTTATAGGTAGAACAGTGGCACAGGATTTATGTTAAAACTGTGATACACAAAAAACATTCAACAAGCTATGGCACACTAGTCTGTGGATGTGATTGTGCTAGTCTGTCGAAAACCCTTTTGCCCCTGTTAATCTCCTGTGTGTTCTATATTTGTATTCTGCTGTTCCCTACCTCATGGTAATTGTCCCTGCCAATAGTTTCTGCTGCTAGTTCTGCAAGCTCCTGGGATGGGTCTGCCCCTGGAGAGATGATGATTAACACCGGCTCCCACTCCATTGTCTCAGTGTAGAGACGTCGCAAATTCAGAGGAGGAGGGGAAAGCTCTTTCATACCTGCAGAAGAGGAGGAGACATATTAAATGATAATGAGGAGTGTGAAAGATATATCTGTGAAATGTCTTTAAATATTTTCCCCTGCCCCATTTTGCTATAGACCCACGTGTCTTTAATAAAGTGAACTAGCCAATTAAACATTGGCATTTGAACATCATAGACCTTAATGTGTGAAGATAATATAGCAATGAGTGTCAAAGTAACACTGTTCATGTGCTGGATGGACAAAGAAATCATGGAGCATAGCAACAAAACAAAATTGGAGGCAAATGGAAACACGTTAGAGCTGAGGCAGATTTGGTGCACTTTAGGTGTGGTAGGATATGGAAGTTTATTGGCAAACATAAAACAAAGAAAGACTCTGAATAGAGTAAGTTACGCAGACATGTTGGGAGAGAAAATGTGAGGAGGATGGGGAGGCTAAAGGGAAGGCAATGATGGGGAAAGGGGAGAGGGCAAAAAAAAAGAAGACACTAAGAAAGACAGAGTGAGGGGTTGGGAGGGTGACGTGCTATGCATATTGAGAGGTAGGATTGCGGCAGCAGAAATCACCACGCAGCAAAATAATACCTCGTCAGCCAGCTGGTGTTTGGAGAACAGCCTCTTATACATAGGTGCAACTCTAAGTGTGTAATTGAGTCTGTGTAGTTTTACTGAAACCTTTATGCTCCTGTGATGTATTGATTTTGATGGTGAGGTATGAGTCAACAGTGAAATGCTTGCCCACACAGCACCAGAGCCTGTCCTGGAAATTTTGATGGGATGTTACTGGTGGATATATTAAAAGAAGTATTAATGTGAACACAACCATACACTTGCGTAAAAATGCTGTCCACTATGGTTGAGGCGAAAGACCAAACCTAAACATTAACTTGGTGTGTGCTACCAAATTCAGAGTGTTTTACCATGGCTTGCACAGTAGAACATGCACAAAGTCTTGGGAGAATGAGCTGATTTGCTAAAACGAAGAAAAACAGATGTTTGTCTGCAAAAAAAAAAATGAAGCATTTGCATAAGATCTGCTAACAAAAATTCATACACAACTGGCTTTGGCATGGTCAGATAATCAGTATTCGCACTGCAGTCCACCGTCCTCTGCCTGTGAATAGAAAAGTTCACCTTGGACCCCATAACACATAACAGACAACAGGGTGAATATAAGTGAAGAAGATAACAGCACAAGTCTCACTAAGGCTGCTGTAAAGGCCAAGATATAGATTCAATAAAATATATATTTTTTAAGTTCTCTACCAAAGTCACTGTGTATATATAAGTGCAAAAGATTTAGTACTTTTTGAAAAGTCCTTCATATGTGTGTGTTGTGTTCACTGAGGCATGCCTGTGTGTGTGTGTGTGTGAACAGAGAGCAGTGCCCAGGCCTGGACTGGAGGGATTGAGTGAGATTAGCTGTAAGAGGATTACAGACCATGCCTCATTAGCATACTGATTTACTGCCAAAAACACATACGCATACACAAAAAACTCTTCCGCCGTCCTGTTCTGATGTTTCATCCCTCTGTCTTGCATGGCCCCCACACCCCCCCAAATTCAAAACCATGCACAATCTTATCCATCTCATGCATTATCCACTCACTGAATGAGTTCACTGGGAGTTTGAGGACTATCACTGTGTCATGATTAAGTTAGCATTTCAATACAATCACCAACAAACAAACAAGAAAAGAAAGAAAAAGGATTCTAAAGATTTTGAAGAACATACGAAAGCAAATTAAAAAATAATCTTATTATTCTTGTAAAAGAGATGGTATGACAGAAACCAGCAATCTATATGTAAAAGATGATGCTTTACTAAGAATAAATGTACAAATGGTATCACTGACACTGTTGTTTTTAAGGTCACATATGTCATCTTGTTTTGTTGGTACAATTGGCCCAAATACTTAAAGCATAAATAATTTGTGCACAGTTTAAGTTGTCATTATAAAGTCTGCTGATCAGGTTGATTGGGAGCGCAGAGTATTTGAACCTGGCTATCTCCATCTTCTGGGTGGCCTTCAGCGTCCACTCTGCCGCTTGACGCTTGTGGTGTTTTGTTGCCAGGCCTCAGCTCCCCTCCTTTTTGCACATTTGCGTTTGTCTTTGTTTTTGCACTTCAACACTCCCATATGCATCATACAACACATCCAAGCATTTGCATTACACCACTGATACTGATATCCACAATCCATTGTTGTTTTTGTTAATAAAAGCCCATTTGTATGCACTTTAACCACTGCATGGTCTCCCGTTTTGTTATGACCTTGAGCCAGTCGTAACATATCTATATAGATGGGTAGATAGATATATAGACACAAACTCTTACATATTTGTAAACCTTTATAAAATTTAAAGTATACATATAAAAACAATATTTGCCATCCACATTGCAAAAAAGTGTTGCAATGTGGATGGCAAATCATTAGGAAAAACCTTAAGCAAGAGAGTTATTCTTATTCATATTGTGTGAACACTGAGCAGCAGAGAGTCCAAGCTTTTAAGCCAAATAAATGTGATAAATTTAAGTGGGCATTGCACGAACATCATCTGAGGCGTGTTAGTGGAATCGTCTCATTATTCTTGAGTTTGAGATTCACACAAGACATATTATTCAACAAACAACACATTTGTCAAAAACACAAGCAGATCAAGGTTTTATTTCAAGGTAAAAACTTACTTTTTCAATGCAACAGTCTATTTTTATTTAGAATAATTTAAAAACACTGGCAACACATTAATGTATGTCTTTGTTGCTTCAATGTTATGTAAATCCATAAAGTCTAGGGAACAAATCCTGCTGGTTTTACAATTGTACTTCAAAAAAGTTGTGTTGCAATTGTTTGATAGTTAATTAGGAAATATATCATAAGCACTAACTAATAAGCACCAACTATAAAAAAAATATTAGCTATTCAAGCACATTAATGTTTGCTGGATCAGAAACTTGTTGTGGTTGTGCACTAATTACCTCAAATGTCAGAATCTGCATCTGGAAATAATGTCAAACCCAGTAAAACATATAAAAAAAGTAAAAAACAAACAAACAAAAAAGTAAGATTTGCTAACTGATATGCTTAGTTATCCTGTTAGCATAAAGAAGGTAGTCGTGTACTTCTCTGCATTACAAAAATTATAAGATGACAAATTTAATAGCATCAAAATAATCAAATGTGCCAGTAAACAGTGGGTGTGCTCATTACATACCAAAACAGATTTCGGCTACTAAGGGCTGGATGTCCAACATCAGGGAACATTTTTATAAATTCTTCAAATCTGAAAATTGGAAGTTCTAACCTCTACATGTTAGCAAGATCAAATTATTGCTAAATTATTTTAAAATTTTGGAAGACAAGATTTTAGTCAGACTCATAAAAGGACTTTGTCATCATCACTTTTGGAATATTCTGCGAATCATCCGGACAAGGATATATTTTACTCCTCAGAGATTATAAGAATATAAGTGTTTATTTCCTATGACTAAAATTATGATGCAAATATTCATGCAATGGAAATTTTATTGTACAAAAACCAGGTGAAAGTGAGTAATAACAGACGTAGAACGGTGTAACCTCTGAGAAAAAAAAAATGAATATGTTAGTGCAATTTTTTTCATTGGCAAAAATGTTAGAAGGAGTAGAAATCTAATAAGGTCTAGTTTTAGTCATGTGGAAACAAGATGAAGTCCTGGTCAGTGAGCCTTGATCCATGTGAGAGCAAGAAAGGGAATTACTAAATACATTCAATGTAGGTGAGGGTCACATGTCTCCAGTTAATATTCTCCCCACAGACACAGTTACAGCAAGACTCTTCCAGAGTGAGGCAAAAAAAAAAAAAAATGTCAGTGCCGGGAAGAATATGGGCATGTTCTTCAAACTGTGCAGAACCACAATGACACAAAGCAGCAGTAGGAAAAAAAAGTTTCTCTGAGATTTAGCAAATGTAAGTATTCTTTAATTTTATTTTTAACTGCTGTATAGCTATAAAATACTAAAAAAAAAAAAAAAATTGACAAATTGTAAGGTTCATGTAAAGGGTGTATTGTATATAATGGAGGTAAGAACATTGATCAGTAACTTGCTTAATGCAGACCGTCATCTCCATTTATCTCGTTACCAAATTATGCTAGCTTATATATCTTTTATTAGCAGCTATTATATCTTAATACTGCCATCATTTTGGGTGAATTACTACACTTTGCTGATTTGTGTGGCCGCTTTATTTTTTTCTCAAAGCCATCTATTCAAATCTTGCCTACATAATTACCCTCTCCCACTACCTCCCCTGCCCCATTAGGGTGGAAATGGTGGATATTTCAAGGAGGCTGATGACGCATGTTGTAAAGCCCTGCTGCTACACTTTTAGTTAAAAAGGAACCTACATCCTCAAGTTTGTCTTCCACCAGAGGATGGTCATGATAAATAACTGAGATAGGCACCGAGAGATAAAACCCATCCATCCATTACCTTTCACCCAATCCTTGGTTGGGTTGCAGAGGCAACAACCTAATCAGAGAAGCCCTGGGCCAGTTCATCCAGGAGAATACCAAGGTCAGTCGAGAAAAAATAGTTCTCCACTTCCTCTGGGTATCCTATCATTGCAAAATGGCCAGAAAACTTCACCAGGGAGCCATCCAGTAGGCATCCTTACCAGATGGCCAAGCCACTACAAATGGCTCCAATTTTAGCCAATTTTATTTATTTGTGAATTTTGAAAACACAGAAAACATTTAACTAAATTTCTTTCGAAAAAGGTTATTCTTTTCTCGCTCTGTTATTTGGTCAAATTATATGCCATCCAACATCTGCAATAAACATTAAGGTGAAATAATTAAGAAGTGCAAATGCATTTGTCTGATAAAGTGTGGACCCCCACAAAACCTTTAAAAGTTAAACAAAAAATGTAAAACTCTTACCAAGAGCTTGAGAGGCAAAGGCTGTCATGGCACTCTGAAGACGGTCAGGTCTCACTGCCTGAATTAACAGCAGCTGCATATATGGTAGAGTACATACAATTAAAAAACACAAAAACAAATAAAATCAGAAAATAACACTTGGCAAAAAAGGTTGAATTCACCTATGTTGAAGGAGTTAAGTCACGCATTTAAACAGTTGGACTTCAACTTACAACTAGTAGTCATGTCATTGTAAGAAGAATACACTTTATGCCATTTCTAGGATTTTAACATATGCAGGTGCATCTCAGTATATCCAAATATAATATAAAGATAATTTTTTTTTTTCAGCAACTTAGTTAAAGAAGAGACACTTCTTTATTTTTTACTCCACACATAGTGATCAATTTCCAGACTTTAGGATAATATAACTCAGATCAAATAAAACCTCAAAACGTGCCTCTCAAAACCTTTAAGCGATCAGTAGCATAACATATTGTTAAAAAGGGTCCTATATATCATAAATGACACAAAATGTTTCTTAGACATGACATGTCTGAGAAACAGATTTTTTAATTGTATTAGCTCTAAGCTACAATGAACCAAACTTAAGTAAAAAAACACCTGCAAGTGGATAACTCATGAATCTATGAGTTTTTTTAATTGAATTACAGAAATAAATTGACATATTTGATGATATTCTAGTCAGAAGAAATAGTTAATATTTTTTAAATCATTTTGAAAATTTAACACTCCCTTATTTTTTTTCTATAATATATTTACTTAAATATTTGTTAAAATTATTAGTTTATCAGAAATAAAAAGAGATTGACAGCTTGCTGTCGTGACAGAAATTAGAAGGATTTCGCTGGCCAAAACAGAAAGCCAGCGTTAATCAAACAGCTGGGAAAATCTGATTTAGTTTCATTACTTCACAGCTAAAAGCTGAATGGAAGCTGACCTGCTGGAAGAGACTAATCTTTCTGGTGATGGAAGATGGGATTTCCTGTTCACACTGTGAGCTTTGCAAGAAGGACACCCAAAGGTCTGAGTCACTCAAACACAGAGTCTGATACAGAGCTGGGAAAGTAGCCTGCAAAGCAAGAGGTGGTTAAAATTGACAAGGATGAAAGATATTACATTAGAGAAGCAAATCTCATCTTCAGATGGGGAAAGATTTGTTTACTGATAAACTTGCCATCAAACGTTAATTGATCCCATATTACACTACCGATGTCTCGAGTTGAATTAAATATATAGTGTTCTGTTTCAATGTTTGATCACCTTTTAAATAAAGTAACCTGTTAAATAATATTTTAGTGCACATACCTTCAAAATGGCCACTGCTCCATGCCTCTCCTGATCAATCCAAGAAGGGAATTCCTGACGAAAAAAACCCCGTTAGAGACAGATATATTTGTTTTATGGTGCAAATGAATAAATAAGCATCCCTACCTCTTTTTTAAACATTTCTCCAACAATGGATCCGATTAAAACTTCCCATTCCTGCAACAAACAGCTCCGTCAAAAGTTGCATCTGGGCAAAACTAGAATTTATGCAATCAAACTGTCACTGGCTTCAGACGCCCTAAAAAAAAAAAAAAATTACTCACATTCTCCTGGAAGAGTTCAGAGTACATCCCTTTCACAAAATGCATTGCAAACATCAGTTGGTCAGCCTGAAACAACAAGAGGGAGATGAGACATAAAGTCAATTATATACATTCTGTGCAACTGTCTTCAGTATATCAAAAATAATGGATAGTTAATAATGGATAGAAAACAGATCAAACAGTATGTTGACTGAAAAAGAGGATGTTGTTGGTGCAGAGCACAATCTGGCGAATTTGTAAAAGCTCATAAGAGATAGGAAAAAGCTCTCCGAAGACTGAAAGTACTGCATGGGCTGCTGAATCATCCTTAAACACTAACAGTCCTCTGGTGTACCTACCTCACTGTCTTTCACAACTGATAGTGATTTAGAATAAAGATAAGAGATACAGCCATTAATCTAGATGCTTATCCTGCTCCCACACAGAGAGAAAGAGAGAGACAGTTGCCAAGAGATTTTAACTGTTAACACAAACCCTGTTAATCCAGTATGTGTTTTCCTAAATATCTGAGAATTATATTTTGAGTTCATGTTGTAAAGAGAGTGAAGATAGGACTTTATAAATGAACGCTGGTCACTGGAGTGACAGTATCAATTTTCTTTCCTGTGTAACAACACAACAAAACATGGAAACTGTGCCCCTATTTACACCCACAATGAAATACAGGCATAATGCCTCAGCGGTTGAAATGCAAATTTATGTAAATCTAATTTTTATGCACTTAACAAGTGGCTCGCAAGGACAGCTGAATTAGAATTACAATACAAGAGTAATATGTGCCGATGCTGTGCTTTGTAAAGTGGCGGAGTTAAGAGACCTTGTTGATCTAATCACTTAGCTTCAGTCAGATCTCCCTTATGTGTAAACCAAGTACATATAGGAGCTTAATATCCATTTGCATACATAAATGCTGCCATTGAAGAGTTTGCTAATGGTTAGTGTAAGCTTAGTAAATCTGAGAAGAACAAATAGCCTTTGGAGACAAATTGGGAAACTTTTGCTTTAAATGTTTGAGTGCTAACCCCATATAGGAATTCTACTTCTGCAATTCCGGTCTGTGTCACTTTGTATCCAGTCTGTAGATTTAATGAAATACAGAAGGATGAAGTAACGGACCTCCACACAATAAATAGTTCAACAGGTGCAGATGTGGCTTTCTAATATCAACAGTTGCAGCTCTATGTTTAGCTGTGAAACAACCAGACTTAGGCTGTCCTTATATCGCAAGGACTTTGTTGCATGTTATGATTCATAAATTCAGCTCTGATTTGGCAAGAAGCAGAAATCAGAAATTTCTTACCCTTTTTGAAATTAGTAGGTCTGCATTCACACTGCAGTCTGAAGTGACTCAATCCAATTTTTTTTTTTTTTTTTTTGACGTAGTGCGACCTTTATCTGAACTTTTCATAACAGTCTGAACAACACAAATTCTTTTCGAATGCGACCATATCCGATACGAATCTGATTCAAATGCGACCTAACGTCCAGGTCGCTTCCATCTGACCTGAATGTCACTGATACTCGACAAATGTCACTATTCTGTGTCCTGATATGCGCAAGTGGGAAGAATAACAACAACCATGACGGACTATAATGAGGATGAAGTTGTTAATATGCTGCTCCGGTCGGACAACAACTTCAAATAAGCTCCACCGTTAGCCTCCATGTTTACTTCCGTAAACACTGATCACCACTTCTTCTTTTTATGACGGTTGGCAGAACACCAAGAACGCTGTTATTGCTCCCTCTACTGCGCATGTGGGACACTTTCAGGTCATTTGCCCGTTCACACTGCTGAACACAAGCAGGTCGCATTTATATGGGAATGTGAACGACCACGGCAAAAAATAAATAAAAATCCGAGTTGATGAAAAAAAATCGGAATTGGGTGACTTTAGGCTGCAGTGTGAACGGAGCCTAAATGTTTCTCCGTTTAGCACTTTATTTCAAGCATTTGGGACACACATCGGTTTCTCGATGTTTCATGTTTTACTGAGCAGAGATGTGGAAACTGTTTACAGCATTTCCAGGTAACATTCTCTTTAGATTAGCATTTTTCTTAAAGATTTTGGTGAGCCTGGAAATCACTCTGTCAACACATTAAGTATAACCGTCTACTTGACTTGAAAGTATAAAATTTTATTTGTGGCATGAAGGTAAAGTTTTTTTCTTTTTTTTTAAAAAAACGGATTAAACAGATTTATTGTTTGGTTTTGGGGGGGGGGGGGGGAGGGCTGGGATTAATCAGTTCCTGTCGCGCCATCAGGTAATGTTCTCTTCAGTGAGAAGTGTACCATCAACAATAATCAACAATAGGCATGACTCAGTGTGAGATTGTGATGGTTTTACCAGAGTAAAATTACAACACTATCATGGTTTTAAAACAAAATTTTCCAAATATTTAATGTAAAAGATATAGCATATCCCAAAAGTTATTTAAAACAGAACAGCAAAGATCATTCCTACTACAGGTAAATATGTTGACCATTGTGTTTGTAAAAAATGTTACTTTTACTTGTAGTTATTTTGATTTTTATAAATAGAATACACTGCCTGCTAAATTTAGTAGCAGGTTTTAGGAGGTTATTATGTACAACATAAGTACAACTTTAGTTTTAAAACAGTTTTATCTTAAGAATAAGGGGTGGTGCACAGTATTTTTGCACCAGAAATATGTCCAAACTGCCATGTTAAAATTAGTAATTTAATTAAATTAATCTGTTTTTATACAAAAATTCAACAGTACACAGTAACAATTTCTAGTCTATTGATCATATAGATGTTTGGTTTAGTTTTTCAAGCTTTATCATTAGTTTCCCACAGTGCAAGCTATCCACCCTACCTATATCTATTAATGTGAACCTGCTATATATCTTTTCCACACTTCATCATGTGAGCTGCACACATGCTGATCCTGAGTGAAGAGGAAAAGATTCAGTTGTTTTCTATCAGGTAGTAGCTGAGCTGCTGCTGATCATAGATGTGTGATGTTAACTAAATATACATATATTATCCTCCACCTGCAGTGCTTGAAAGTCCCACAATCCCACAGGTGATAGATCAACATAGCAACACTCACAGAGCACAAACATTAGAATTAACATCCACTGCCTAATCAATAACCCTGTTGTTGCCCTTGTGACACATTGTTAGTGTGTTGGCTTCAAAGGTTACATTGCAGAAGGGAGTTAATATCAAAGGTTATGCGATGGCGTCTTTGACCTACAGGATCCGTAAGAACACTGTTAGAGATTAATGTATATCTAATTATACTGCTAAAAAAATATAAGGGTGTTTGTCAAGGTAAGAGTAAGACGTCATATTTCTAATTAAAGCACTTTGTATCAGTCCACATTTCTGATTAGAATATAAAACAGTGCATAAATCTAGTCTCAAGAAGAAAAGATAGCTCTGTATCTAATAGAGACAAAGGGAGTAGATTTTGTGGATATATGAAAATATTATTTGTGGACTGTTTTTATATTTTAGATCAACTGCTTATCCTTGATTTGAAATAAATTTGCCAAAGAACACGATGTTTACAAATTGCAGCCAGCAGGAAGCATTACCATTCATCACCTGAACAAATACAACTGATTGCAGATATTTTCATAGATCCTCAGAAATTCCATTCGCTCACATGAATGTATTTTACCTTGAAAAGTGACCGGCAGACATATTCATACACCATGATCTTCAAGTTGTTCTCCAGGGCAGAAATCCTGCCTTCGGTATTTAGGTCCTCCTAAAATGTACAGTGAAATATTTCATGGTTAAGTTTGATGGGCATTGATTATATAATGAGGATTTTTATTATCAGAATGAATTTGAAAAAAAAAAAAAGAGACAGATACGTTTGTTTCAGTTCTTTTGAATTCAGTGCTTTACATTGAATTTGAGCAGCACCCTAAGGAAAATTTTAATGATGGTATTGCTTTTTAAATGTGTATTTTCCCCAAAGCTTGGCTTGCCTTCCTCTACTTCCGGATCGTTTCATTACGTATTCCTCTGATGGACAAACAGACGAAACAAAATCTGTCTAAATATACATAAACATAAAAGAACATATCTCACATAAATCAACATTTTGACTACAAATTATGACTTCATAGAAAAAGCATAAACATATACCAACAGGAAAGGAGCTTCCCTATGTATATGTGTTTGTGTATGTGTTGCGACTCTAGTATTCAAATCCCTTGAATAGTTTCACATTTTGTCACAAACTACATTTCTGTTACGTAAAAAAAAGAAGAAAACTAATTAAGCATTTCTATATATTTTTTTGTCATCTTATGGCAAAAAATTCCTGTAGCATTCTTTCAAAAGTGGTTTTCTCAACTCCACTCTTCCATAAAGACCAGTTATAGAATGTAGTAGTTGGACATGCTGTCAACAAAGCTGTGAATCTCTGCAGCTCCTCCAGAGTTACCATTGAGCTCTTTGCTGCTTCTCTGATGTGTACAGGGATAATGTCATGTGGAGATCCTGTAGCAATGGTCTTCTTGCCTGTCAGTTTTAGTAACCATCCTTGTTTTTATAAAAATGCAGATTGTGGATTGAACTGAGCTTTGTTAAAAGCTTAGGATACTGTTGTAAATGTAAACGTAAATACAACTTATTCCTTGGTCTCTACTATGAAGTTTGTTCACTAATAAACCTCTAATGCCTTCACAAATCAGCCACATTCATAATTAATGAATGATTTGTAAGAGTAGAGTTTACTGCTCACCCAATAGGTGACGTCTGAAGGTAACTGCTTTCAGTGGATTTCACTTAGGGGTTAGGAGGCAAAATGCAAAATGCAAGAACTTTCTTTTCTTTTTTTTTTTTTGTAAAACATAAAATCCATGTAGCCTTTCTTTCCTCACTGCTACGTCACTGCTACATCGTACTTTGCGAAGCAGGATGTGTTGTATGCGTATGAAAACATCAGTGTGTTAAATCAGCCATTGCAAGGTAAAATCCTCTTCCAGATCTCAGGAACCACATGCAGCAGTTGGCAAATTAAAAATGCTCACTCACAACACCAAGCAAGTGAACAACACAAAGTGAATTAGACTCTGTAAATCAGTGCACCTATTATGATCACAGTTGCTGACAGTGTCCACAGGCCTTCCTGCACGCACACACACGCACGCACGCACACGCGCACGCATAAACACACACACACGCGCACGCATACACACGCGCACGCATACACACACAACAGCAGTGGCAAGCTTCTGTCGTCAGGTGATACTCTTGGATGGCAGCGCTGGCTCTGACAACCCACACAGGATGTCAGAAATTAGTGCTCTCTATCTCACAACTCTTTGTATACCTACATGTGTGTGTGTGTGTGGGCTCTCATTATCGCAGTGTTTTAAGCTCAGTTCGAAAACAGCAGTGTGCCAGTCTGTGTTGCTTTCTGTCTGACCTTAGTTTTAACCCCATCTCTTGATTTTTTGCGACGTCTCCTATTCATTCAATTATTTTCATTCTTTGCTCAGGTTTTATTTTACAGTTGTACTTTATGGAAATCCTATGTAACATATTCTTTGCTGTTAAGTCATGTAAGCATCAAAGTTTAGCCTCACATAAAAGCTTCAAGCCACATAAAAATACTTGTTCTGCTGCATTTTAACTCAAGGATAGCTGCATGTTCGTGCAATAAAGTTATGATAGATAAAGAATACAACATCAGCATCAAGGTTGTCCGCTTTTTTGCAAAGTAAGAAAAAAATCCTTGGAAGACAGCAGCAATAGTTCATCATTTCCTTTAAAATAAAAGTAATCAATGACCTTCTGCCAGCCAAAAGTACATAGATTTTCAAAGCAACAGTTTGACATTGGATGAAAGGTATTGAGAAATAAAATATAAGAAGCGCTGTTGGATTAAGTACTGTGTCTGAACTGTACTTAGGGCTTCTACTAGACATAACATGTTAATCAGGGAGCTACAGTGTTTTTTTTTTTTTTTTGTTACTACTTGACTAAGAGAAGCCAGCCACTTCTTCTGCTGTTGGGTGTTTCTTCTAAGCTCCCCAAACACTCTGAAAAACAAGCTTAGCATAACTTAATTTTCAAAAACGTCACACTATCCCACAAAGCTGGACCAACTCTGTTTTAATCACACAAATAACAAAGCCACTTTCAACTGAAAAAAAAAAAAAAAACACATTTAACCACCTAAATTAAATTTATCTGGTTTCTCAATAAAGACAGTCTGGTGTTAGTAGAGTTGATTGAATACAGCATCATCCATCATGTTGTCAGTTATATTAACCCAGCAGAAGAATAGTTTGCACTTTTGTCACATTTTGGAAGAGATGGATTACAAACAGAGATGCCCATAATGATTGGACAGAGATCACAATCAGACAATTTTTCCTCAACTGGCTCCATGTATTTTTCTCCTTTTCATATTTTTCAGACAATAAAGACATTGAACATTCACTGAGTTTAAACAAATCTGACAAAAGTTAATAACCGGGGCTGTGTTGCATATGATTCCTTTTTTTTTTTTTTTTTTTTTTTTTCTTGGATTCTAAACTATCGTGAAAGAACACAAAGGAATTTCTTCTTTGTCTTTTAGGTGCTATGTTTTCTCAAAAGTAATGCAAGTGAAACTGAAATATTTCTCATCGGCAAAAAATACCACAACCTACAAATCTGGATTAATTTTTTTTTCTCCATTGACAATTTCACTGTCCTCCCTTCCCGGCTGGTCAAGGGCCTTGGTGTCATCCTTAAGAGAAACCTACCTTTCACAGCTCATATATACAACATCACCCGCTCTACATACTTCCTTGACTACCTTGAAAGTCTTGAAAGGCGATTCTAAATTAAATGTGTTATTTTATTATTGCAGTTCTTACAAAAAAGGCCTGGAACCAGGCAGTCAACTGGAGGTTGGTATCAGTTAATCTCCATTTAGAGCTAATTCCACTGCGATATTACAAAAATCATTAAACTAAAGAAAACAAATGATGTTTTTCTACAACAGCTTTAGTTCTTAACATGATGTAATCCAGGTTTGGCTGTATCAGCACATCAAGGAGTCTTTGTGTTTCTGTTAAGGGTCCATTTGAGTCTAAAAATTTCCACAATTCCTGAACAGTAATAAGAACTTGTTTTATTTGGGTTCATTTTGACTGTTATAATTTTTCAAGTTCCCTAATATGTAGTATTTCAATATGCGGTAAAAGATTTAAGAGTCTTTTGATATAGGTAAAAATGGGAGAAGTATCAAAGCAGTACAAATGTTATCCTTTTACCTTCTTGGCCTGAAGAGCCCTTTGGAAGAGGCGCAAAAAGGATGCAAGACTGAAGCAGTACATGTTGTTGATCTTTGACAGGTCTGTGATAACAAAATACATCTTGCTGGCACTCTCTGCAAAGGGCAGGTAGGCATCTCTCTCCTAGAGCAGGAAAAAAACATGTCAAAAAAGACAGGAGAAAAGATGAAACCAAGAAACAGCAAAAAAGAAATTGTACAGATTGTAACGAGTTACATAAAACACAAAACGTTGCTGATGGACAAGAGAACTGATATCTAGACGATAAGCAGAAAGCCAGAAGAGATTTTACTTATTTTTTTATTTAAAAAAAGGATGGGAGGAAAGAGAGGGAAGCTTGAGGTGTGATGGGATATGGAATGTGAGAAAAAACAGGACATGCATAAAAGAAAATGAGAGGAGAGAATAATGCATCAACAAAAACAACAGAGAAAAGACGAACATCAGTTCTGGTGTAACACTGCTCCCTAAAGGATTATCTGGTAATGCAGCTTCGACACATATGCTTCCAAACCTGTGTTCCCTTGGTCAGCAGTACTGCATGTACTGTAGTTATTTAGACAAGATTTAGCTGTAAGCTACACAATATTTTCAGTCTAAATATTCCTTTCAATACATTTTTCCAAAGTTTGGAGGAAGATCTATCAAAAAAAAAAAAAAAAAAGAACTTAGGTCCACATATTTCACATATTTAAATGAGACCTATTATGCTTCCATTTAAACAAGTTAGGATAGGTCAGTGGGCTACATGGACAAAACATGTTCTTTACACTTATTGCACAAAATCCTTCTAAGATACTAAGATTTAACTCACTCCATTCTGCCTATTTTGAGCTCAGAATGAGCTGTAATAAGGCTTCAACAGATGCACAATTGTATAGCCATGCATTTTTGATCAGCGTCAGAAGCAAAAGGAGTGGAACCTCCTGCACAACCATCAAGAATGAAGCAATTTCTGAATACAAGTCGACAACAAAACACTTGTCTTTTCCAGCGGTCACAGCACAGTTCAAATGGCAGTGAAACCCGCTGGCCAAATTTGCTTATCTTCTAATAATGGAGAAGACACAGCTCCACTGGGGTTTCTAGCTGAGGTTAAAGGTGCATCCACCTTTCAATATGAATTTCATTTCTTTTTTTTTTTTTTTTTTATGAAATCTTACATTTTAGGAAAACTGTATTCCAGTGCCCTTCTTGCTCAACCCTGGAGATGCTTGTCTTGCTTAGCGAAACTCATTGAAAGTTCATGATCGTACTGTGAACAAAGTTGCTTTAATACTGCTGTAAGTAATGTCTGGCCACTGAAGTTTGGGCCATTTGTCCACTAACCTGCATGTAATGTGTATGGGTCACTCATGGCTCACTAATGTCAATTTGATAACTTATTTTATCACACGATGATAAAGAGTTGTAGTGCACTGACAACATGCTAGCTAACGCTAAAACAGCAAGACAAATGCCGGTAACCATGGCAACCAGTCTGCGTAAAGGCTAGCCGACTCTTTGTGCAGTGAAGTTGCGCGTGCATCTGCTGTGTTTACAAACACACAATACTGCTACAGGGTTGGACTATAGAAATGAATGAAACATGAATAGAAGTCAATGCAAAGTTTCTGTCAAGATAAAAAGACACTGCATATGTGTGTGTTTATAATAAAAAAAAAGCAGTTAAAAACCAAGTATCAGCATTACCAACACATGTAAAGGAGTAGACTGCATTTCTTTTTCTCGTGATTTTAGAACACAAATGACTTACAGTACCTGGTCCAAAGACACCTGGAGCCTGTGTGATTCCACCAGTGACTCCTGGATGAGGGCACTGCTTGCCTTGGTTTGGTTTAAGCTGTCAATCAGCTCCCTGTTCTCAAGAATATTACCTTGAGCTGTAGCCAAAGTCTGATGCAAAGAAAAACAGACAGATGGACAGGTTGTAACAGATGAGTGGGAGAGATGGGAAAAAGAGAGGGACGGGAGAGAGAGCGAGTATGTTGTTGGGTTTCGGTGATTTTATCTCAAGTCTGTAATCTGATAAAAGTTGCAAGAAGGGGTGATGCTAGGGCTTCAACAGCCTTGTGCAAGGAATTTCAAACTCCTAAAATAAGTGCTCACTGAGTTCTAAAACTCTCCCCCTCAGCTCTGAGGAACCAACTCTCTGAAACGAAGTGATAAAATGTATTCAAATAAATTCAAGTAAAATAGATGAGAAACCAGCAGAGCATGGAAATGTCAAGTCAAATATGCTCCTACGATTCAAGAATAATTACATGTCTAATACCACTGAAGCACTGACATCTGGCTATTGGCATTAATTCTCTCTGTGTATGAGTTTCCAAATGTCCCTCTGACCACACGAAAAAGGATTTTTACGCTGTATTTCTAAGCCTGGATATCCATCAGAATGGTGTGCAACTTCGAATGTGAAAGTACATCTGCATTGAGCTGTTGTGGTTACAAGAAGACAATATTATGGTATTAGACTACAAATGATAACTTTCTGATTATGTGCAGGGGTGGAAACATCATGATAGAATCTACACGGCACATAATGCCATTTTTGTATGCTTCCACCTACTGTGTTGTTGTGAAATTATTGCACAGGGTTTAATCTGTACATTTCCAAGTAACACAGAGAAGTAAAACGAACAAAAGGAAAAGCACAGCCATTAACCCCCCCCCCACTCCCCCAGAGGCACCCACTGATTAAGGAGGATGGGTGGTGCAGTAGAAAAAGCCCTCTTCCTGCAACAAAGAAACATAGGATCAATAATGAGGACTGGTTGTTTCTACCTTCATCTGATACATTGGACAGGTATAGTGATTGCAGCAGTACTCACTGCTCCTGATTCGCCTGTACACAAAGCCTTACAAAGTCTAGTTCACTTTCATCACACTAGCAGTGGAACTTAGCAACTTCAACATCTGCAGTGCAGTGGACAGTAATTATTCCAGAAACAAAAGAATACAACCTGTCCATCTGTCCGCACACATTTCTTTTTGGTGCGCAGGTTAATTGCATATGCACATAAACAAAGATCTTAAATTGTCAAACATGTGCAGCTTGTTAATGTTGTGTAATGTCTACCTCTAGCAAAGATTCTTCCAGTTGTGCCAGCTGTATCTTCTTGTCCTCTTCTTGTTGCAGCAGTCGCGTTTTCTCAGTCTCCAGTTCTGGCTTCTCATGCTGGATGGTCAAGGCTAGCAGCTAAAACATTCACACAAACGCACAGCCTTAAGATGAGATACAACGCAATTACGACTCAGACAAAGCAATTCTAATATTCCACTTAAAAATTCTATAGATTTTGCTCATTGGTTATTAAACTCATAAAGTCTTGGGGGGAAAAAATAATACACAGGCAGCACAATCAGTACCTCTGCTTTATTTCCCAATGGGGTTGTTAAAATATGTAGCTGATGAGCTTTTGCTTGAGTGTTTGTGTCAGCTCAGGTACCTGTCCTCGCAGGCCTGCCCTGGTCGTGGTGAAGTTGACCTCTGTGACCACCGAAGCAGCATCGGGGGGGATGATGGGACTGGGATTCCGCGTTGCCAGGAAGAGACGGAAGTCCTCGTTGTAATCAATAACTTTGTCCCCAATCTGAACCACGTACCTGGGACCTGCAAGTATGTGCGCGCGTGTGTGTGTGTGTGTGTGTGTGTGAGAATGTCGACATTAAGGTGCGAGTCACTTCATGACATACTGTTCTACTCAGACATGCAAGTGTGCCTATAATGGCCATTTAAAAACCTGTCTACTCATATTTTGTCCTCTGCTTTTTGTCTTCTGGTTTCTGCAGTGCAGCATTTCCAGGCCTATGTCCTCACTCTTTTTTTTTCCACCTTGTTAAGCATCAAATCAGAGTGGATAACTTGCCCTTTCACATAGTTCTTCTGTCTCCACTCGTTCTAATTTAGCTTCAAATTGACAACCTCCTTTCTCTGGATGATTCAAAGCCTTATGAGTCATGCTCATTTCCACAGGTAAGGCTTCCAGTCGGAGTTATATTTATGTGATCGGTATGCAATTACCCACAAGTAAACCAAGGACTTATAAAGGTAACACTTTATTTGAAGGGGTGTGCATAAGACTGACATGACACTGCCATAAACATGAAATAACACCTGTCATGAACATGAAGGAGTCTTTATGAATGTTTGACAGTTGCCATGAAGTGTCATTCGGTAAATAATGACATTTTTAATGCAAAGTTGCTCTAAAAGTTGCATTGAAAGTCCATTAAAAATGCCAACTTTGCATTAAATTATCATAATTTACAAAATCATGCAAAGTTGGCACTTTTAATGGACTTTTAATGGAACTTTTAGAGCAACTTTGCATTAAAAGTATCATTATTTACCGAATGACACTTCATGACAACTGTCATAAACATTGATAAAGACTCTTCATGTTCATGACAGGTGTTATTTCATGTTTATGGCAATGTCATGTCAGTCTTATGCACACCCCTTCAAATAAAGTGTTACCCTTATAAATACAATTGGTTACATCACAGAATCCAAAACAGTCAAATAGAAAACAAGATAGTTTGTGTTCTTTTTTTTTTTTTGTCATATTAGTTTCTAGACTGTTTTGATAAATTAAATGGATCAAATAATACATTCAATCAAAATAAAGAATCTATAAGAAGATACATATACGTATATCTTTATCACTGTATGTATATTCAGAGGTCTCTTTTATTAAAATCTCTAGATCATAAAGACATTCATTTCAGGAGCTAAGAAAACCAGCCACTTATGGGGGGTGCTGCCCTTATTCTTGGATTGTGCAAATAATGGAAATTGACAGGCAAAGAGCAAGTTTTTATAATAAACCGAAGTAATTACCTTAAGAGAAAGCGGCACCAATGTGACACACTTCATTTCTTCTTTAATATGTGCTATTTATTCACACTCTATGATGACATTCACCCATTGAATTCTGTGATAGGCTACTTCAAAACACTGTTTTCAATTCCTTCAAAATGCCCCTCCTTTGATAAATTTGGCACTGGGAATTTAACATTTTGATTGTCAAAAATGTGTGTATTCACTTTAAGTCATGTGCTGGTTTAGTCTAAAGGTATATTTATATATAGCACCACCTGCACCCACTGACATATTAGTTGATAGGCTGTATATTTAAATAAATGTATATATTCACTGAACGTTTTATTTCAGGTGAACATGAGCACAATAATCAAAATTTAATAGTCAACAAAAATCTCAATATTAAATCATAAATTCTAATTTAAACTGAGAGGCTTAGTTGTGTCTGTTGCCACAAACAACTAAACCTCTGCGCCTTTTCTCCCAACATGCCTTCGTACCGTCATTGGATGAGGCAGAATGTCCTTCAGACTTAACCGGCCGTGTTTAGCAGCGGTGTTGACGACGTGCTGAAGCATGTCAGCAAAGCAATCCAGAGCAGCCAAATCATGAGGACAAACATCTTGTCAGCACAGTTCTAAGCAGTTCCTCTGTGGTCCTATGCTTGAGGTGTGTATTGAGAACTGCAGTTTTATCTCTGAAAAACAGCTTTCTCTGACTGGGGAGCAAGGAGGAGGTGCGTCATCTCACACCCGAAGTGCCGGATTTGTGTCTGTTATGTAAAAGCTCTTTGCCCCACTCGTCAGAACACACAAGTCCGGCTCTTTAGTTTGTTTGGTTGGGAAAAAAAATTTTTAGAGCTTTTCCAAATATCAGATTTTCCTTTATTTTCCCTTCGTTTCACTCAGTACTAATTAGTTTAACCAAACTCAGTTTTATTTTCCACGTGTCAACAATATTGGGGTCCAATAATAATTTTTTGCCACTCGTTCTTGCCTCCCAGCAGTGTTAAAACTGCTCACCCTGGCGAGCTGATCAGCAGTCATTAATAAACTCTGACAGACAACAGGCTTTTGATAGATTTCGACATGGATTTTAAGTTGCTTTAATGCATTCAAGGGTGTTTCAACTACAGTTTAATTTGGTGACTGCCAAACCATAATGAATACAGCTGTGGATGGAAAAGCTAAAATCTTGAATACTGACTTCAGAACTAGAGCAAATCTGTTTATATTCCAGCTCGATTTTTCCTAACTGATTGGTTTCCATGGATATTTGCCTCCTGGAAAATGAGTAAAATACCACATTCTGCTTGGATTGCTTTAATTAGTTATGTAAATAAACTCATACTACTGCAGCTTGCCAGAACGCCAGGCGATGAGTTATTATTTTTTTTTCGAACCTTCTTCTGTAAAGCAGCTGCATGAGGAAGTACGGGAGGGAGTTTAACTGGTGGGATTAAACTTATAAATCTGCCAACCTGGCGATAATGTTTTTGTGGATGTCGCGAGTGATCCAGCAGTTCTGCAGGAAATTTCATTGAGTCTTAAACGATTTTAGCTATGACACTTGGGCAATGCTGTCTGCAGCAGTCCACTTTGTTTTTCTTTTTACAAACCACCAAGAGGTGTTTTATAGTTGGCAAACTAAATTCCATCCAGTGCCTTCACGTCTCAAACATTCTGCTCAATCTTGTTAAAATACAAGTAAACACCTTTTTAGGCGAAATTGCAAATGAAAAAAAATAGTAATGATAATATATATATATATATATATATATATATATATATATATATATATATATATATATATATATATATATATATATATTTTTTTTTTTTTTTTTTTTTTAAAATATAAAAAAAAATGAAAAAAAAAAAAAAAAAAATAA